TCTACCTCTCTCTCACTCCCACCCCACCTTCACTAAACATATTCGTGACAACTGATTACTAATTCTATCATGAAATATGTTACGCGTTACCGATTCGATAATATTTCGTATTCTTGCAAACGCTGTTAAAAAAACGTTGCAAAAAACTGTTAGAAACGCTTAAAATTTGAACGAGCGTTTGGAGTCGTACAAGGCCCAAAATGTTTGACAATAATTCTCTGTATACCTAAACTTTAAATAATCATACTTAAATAGTCGTTTGAAATTCAAATCGTATTTATTAAATTTTAGAGAAAAATATCCTATTATGTTGTCATTTAGAAAAGTAAAAAACTTAAAAATAATACCGTTAAAAATAGTTATTCTTAGTTTTTGGTGGGTAACCCATATAAAAAGAAAACAAGACAAGTTATTATATCACGTTTAACTGTAAAATTATATAAATACCGAAATAGTTTTACTCGAATAATAATTTAAAAGTTATGACACCGCGGGGTTTAACCATGAAAATATTTAATTATTATAATTGAAACTTGAAAGTAATATTAAGTGTGATGTTTTCTATACCTTAAACCTATTATAATAATTATTACATTATACACTGTACACGACAAAGGACATCATCAATTATTTTAATGCCATGTCGTATTCTTTTGTATAAAACATCTCTGGCTCGCTGTATTAAATGAAAATAATCTCCAGTGTTATGCCAAAAAATAATGTTATCATCATGTTGTTTCTTGAATCTTTTCGCTTATAGAATATAATAATAGATGCTTACTCAAATAGTTTGTGCTGTCCGACGACTTCCTCAACGGAAGTTCTATGTGATGCGAAGTAACATTAAACCGACCCAACGAACGATTCGACCAGTATTTGGAGAAATACCTGTTACTGCAGACTACAGTATTATGTACAGTCAGCAGATACTTGGTAAATAATATGAATACATTGTATATCATATACTTCGTAGAAAGATCTAATCGAATGACTAAATATTGTGCAATGAAAAAGAATAGAATATGTATATATATATATATATATAATTTAATAATTACAATTTATTATATGACACAGAGGTTTAAAGGTGAACACAAATTTTCTCGGAAAGCATTGACGTTTTGAAATGCATATTTTTACATAATTTAAACTTTTTTTAAAATAAAAACCATATTTTATTAACGTGTAACTAATTACCAGTTATAATTACTTAATAACTTATAAACATTTAAAGTTTTAATGATTGAAGTGAATTTAACACAAGGATCTAAGGTATTCAGCAACATGTTAGTCCACTACTCCGCTCATCATACCATTAAATATTGTACTTCAAACTAATTAATTATTTAGAAAAAAAATGTTTATGACTTTTAAAAAATGAGTATATTATATACTTTTAGAAAAATCACATTGTATGACCTACAATATATTGATTATAATTTGTAATATATAAAATCAAAAACAAACGGTGGGCGCGTGATCAGGATTGGCCTGCAAAATTTAACGTTTTCAATTTTTATTTATAAGCTATTTATGATTTGACTTGTGAAGCACGATTTTTATTAATTTTTTTTCAAACTTTTTTTGTTATTATTTCATCCATAAATCCAATTATTTTTTAAAATTGTTTCGTTTATAATATGAGTATAATGTTTAATTCGTTTTATACGCGTATTTACATATTATCATTGTTTTAAAAGTGTCGATTACTTTTTTCCGGTAGGAATATAATTATCATCCATCCCTTTCCGCTCTCTTGATCGTGATCTAGTCGAAAATAATAGGTATAAGTACCTAACTACAGCAGCTATGTGTAACAACGCGGGCGCCCAGTATGACATAATATAGTATAGTGAAAAAAAATAAAAAAAAATAATAACAATATTATAGACGTAAGAACGATTATCATCTTTATTATTATTATTATTATTATTATTATTATTATTATTATTACAATGAGACGACGACATTGTGTTGCTCATGTATAATAAAAAATAATAATTTGTGTCTTGTGTCACTGTTGACGTCTTGTATATAAACGATAATTTATAGTCTTTCTAACGTTTGTATATAAATATGTCAACAATATATTAATGTATAATAATATAATGTTCTATCGAGAATAGTAATTTTACGTTATGTACGCATATAATATAATATATGGTTCTTAAATATCGTAAATCATTTAATATCTTGATATCGATGCTTTATTGTTACCATCAATCCGTGACGAAAAATCCTACTTCTAGTGTTGATGACCACAGCACGTTGTAATCGCGTTCTATCGCTACCCATTTTCAAAATATTTCAAGTACTCATCTAACAAAAATCCAAATAAATACACAATTAATCATATTTAAGCAATTTGTAAACATTGTTCACTAATATTTGACAATAAATGAATGTAAATTATTAGATCAACGTACTATACGGAGTGTACCAACCTTTTACTCTGCATGTAGACACTCACTATTTCATTAAACGCCAACATTTTTGAAAATATTTATTTTACATTATTTTAAGTCATTACAAATTAACGTTTTTTGGAAAAAAAATATGTTGTAGCTACCTATTATTTTTTATCGTTAACTTTTATTTACGTTTCTAATCATTTGAATAGCAACAAACATTTTTAAATTCATATTCCGAAGCAAAATATATTATATTATATACTTATTAAGTATTTAGATCTATACAGATTTTGGACTTATTAAGTATAACTTTGATAAGTGGAGTAGTGACTCAATATTTTGCGGAGTACGAGTGTACACCACTCCATTATATTCATCTTTTATTTTAAATACTTTTAGATAGTTAAAAAATTAAAAGAATATAATAATAAAAAAATAAAAAAAATTTTTTAAATATAGTTTTTTTAACGATTTGAAATAATGAAAAAAAAATATTTTCAAAAATACTAATAGTTTTTTAAATAATGAATATCTTACATTAAATAGATTATCCAGTATATAATACTATTAATACGTTTAAGTTTTTGTGGTATAAATGTCATTTTGTCAAAATGTGTTAAATATCTACCTTAATGAACTGATCTTAACATACCTATTACACCTGCGTATAAGAGGTACATTTATCAATATGTTTATCTTAACGTAACCTACTCATTATTTTGATTTGATAACTTCATGTTATATATTGACGTTATAAATGCACAATTTAAGAATCGATTTGGCTTTACATGTGTGATATATTTATTAGAATTTAATAAAACCACTGAATCATTAAATATGTATATTATTTTTTATATATAACCTTGACCAACATTCTAAACACGGTGACTCGATATATAGTTAAAACAAAAATACTATTTTGTACACCTTATATTTTTACATCTATCCTACAACCTTTTATAAAAAAAAATAACATGATTTTTATTCAAATCCAAATCTTTATTTGCCCCAAAAATTCTTTTAGCATTGCATAAATCCACCAACGTGATTATTATCTCTCAAAAGAAATTATTTATTTATTTTTACAGAACTGTACAAGGTAAACGTTATATTATATTTTTTATTATAATTTTGTTTGAGTTCTTATATTTCATGTATCAAACTTTTCAAGGATTAACTATTCAGTACAATATTATATAAATAATATAACACAAAATCATTAACTTGTTTTCAATATTCTGTCATAGATATTTGTATCAACTTTTTTTTTTTTAGTTTTTTCCGATTAATTTAATCGTTTTAAGAATAACCATGTGCTCATCGTTGACACATACCTAAACTGTTTTTGGAATCAAACTAATTTGCGACCTATATAATGAATTTTGTTTTTATTACGAATTTGTATGAGATATTCAGGTAATTGCGTCATGAGATAATAAACGCAAGTTCGATATACCAAGTATCAATAATAATTCAAAATTCTGTATTAATAGTCGTGAAAAAATGACTCGATCATTTTAATATATTCATACTTAAAAAATAATGATAACTCGCCACACAAGTTAATGAATATTTTAACCTAACTTAAGTTAGATAAGTGAGTAAAATCCTCTAAATTAAATAATATTTATACAATTTGTGTGTGTGTGTGTTTGTATGTCATATTGTGATGTAGAAATAATTTTCAAGAATTTAAATCTATTTTATTGAAATGTTTACTTTACTTTTAATCTATAGTTAAGTATATTCGCATCAATAGGGAATGCAGTTAACACATGATAATGATTTTGAAACGCAATAGTATGATGATTCCCTTATATTTTTATATTTAGTTCAGATTTTACTACTGTTTAATGTTTATATATTTCAAATAAAATATTTATAGTACTTTGTTTAGTTTTATTCTATCATAAATTGACTACCATTATTTGTATAATAGGCATGAATAATACTATACATTGATATACTCGTATATTATGTATACTCTATTTTAACAAACTTCTACTTAACGAAACTCTCAATATAACGAAATATTTTATGAAACCATAACATTTTCATTTAAAAACTTTCTGCTTTACAAAAAATACTTAAAAAATTCCTTTTTAGTAATTTTTTTTTTTTTTTTTTTGCTATTTTTCCATGCCATTTTTGTTGTTATATATTTATAAAATACACACTCGTTATTAAAACTTATTTAAATAAGTGCGACTATTTTTATAGTTAGTCATAAGTCAGAATGGTACAAAAGTTGTTCAACAGGATATCAAAAAGTCTTCGACGACATAAAATAAAAAAATACATTTTAATTTACATATTTAATAAAATTCAAATGTATTTTTTATTTTAATTATTAATAATATTATACGTAGCTACATACTAAGTATTACTATATTTGCAGTATACATTTTTCTTACAAAAAAATTATTTTTTTAGCGAAATTTCTATTTAACGAATTTTATCAAAGAACAATTAAGTTTGTTAAATAGAGGTTAGAGGTTACACTGTATATTTATAATGATTAATGAGTTTTTTCAAAATATGTACGTTAACATATTATTGGACTATTATTTATGACATTTTTTTTCACAGCATGGGTATTTGATGAAATTCGGTTACTTGCCAGAATCAGATCTAGAAACGGGCAACTTGAGAGACGGAAATCAACTACAGGATGCTCTGCGGACGTTGCAGGTATATACAATACAATATATATTATATATGCATAAATACAATAATAATACGAAATATATTATATCGTACATTATTATGATTCAATTTATAAAAACAGGAAGCATATTTACTTTTTGAGAATGATAATATTTTATTGACAGCGAATAGTACTTATAATTTAAAAAATTATATACGCACGAGCAAATTAATGATTATTTGTACTGCCTTAATTTTTTTTATCCGTATCTAGTCGTGTGGGTGTTATAATTGTGTCGTTAATTTCTTAATTTTCAAAAATAATAATTAGATTGATTGACCAAGCATTCCCACTTACATTTTCCCTTTAATAATTTATATATTCAAATTCTAAATTTTAAGTCTACTCAAATATCATATTTTTCTATCATTGCTATTCTCTATAATACTAAACGAGTGTCGTATGGTGATACTGCTTCAAAGTTACAAGAACGATAATTATATGATATATTTTACAATTAATGACAATAATAACACAGTAAACACACTCTAGACTCTTTTTATTAATTATTTCCAATATTTTTATAAGACGTTTGGAAATATTCCTGTCACCGGTAAAATGGATGCAGCCACTAAAGAGTTAATGAAGAAACCGAGATGCGGCGTTCCCGATTTGTCACCGGCTGCGGGTCAGCGGCGGACTAAACGTTACACTCTGCAAGGTCAAAAATGGCATCACGTCAACCTGACGTGGAGGTGAGCGGAATTAAGTCTATTATAAATTTTTCACAGAGTGTAGATACTCAAGTACACATAATACGTGAATAAATATATTTTATGTATATATCGTTAATAATACTATAAATTAGCTAGTTATTTGATTAACGTGTGATTTAAAAAAAAAGTTAATTCCTTTTAAAGGTATCCAAATCCAATGTTTAACCTGTTTAAAGCTGTGTTGGAATATATAATGATTATAATTTATTTTAAAAAAGTGCTATTTTGAAAATAATGAATTTCAACTTTCAACAGTTTTGAATGATATAAGTATATAAGTATATAACCATAGTAATTTATTCGTTTATACTACGTTACTGAATTACGCCAACGTCGTCTATTGACTACTACAACCACCAATCGCGTGTTTTCCGTCACCGATCGCATAAACAACGAACGCTAGACAACGAATCATATTCATTATTCACAATATTTAATTAACTTACAACTAGCAACGATAATGTAAATTATAATGTATAAATAGTTCAGTCTTAAAGTCTTGGTTTCAATATAGTTTATTGTAAGGTACAACAATCCAATTAAATAATACCAATACTCAATAGTGGCCTCAAAATACGCATAATTACATTGTTAAAAAAACTACAATAATACTATTTTCATACAAAAAAAAAAAAAAAATTGAAGACCTAGGTACTTGGCAAAAGGGAAAATTTTGATGGATGTTGGAGCCGGCGTGTTTTTAATATAAATATTTGCATCACGGCATAAATTTTAACAGGTTACTATAAGATATAGGTAGTCATAAATTTAGATAATTTTATTTTTATTATTAAATATGGAAAACTTTAAAATCACATTGTACTCAAATTTCAAAAACTATTTTTAAAAGTTATAATTAACCACATTTTTTAAGTATTTTTAAATATATTTTTCTGATGTTATTTAAACCAAATTCAAAAATGGGAGTCCTATAGTAATCCAAAATAGCTTGCATTTTTACCACTTTTGACATTCTAAATTATCTAGATCTATTTTTAATTTTTTAACGATTTCGTAAATCATTCATAAATCATAATCACGCATAGATTTAATTACGGTTCTTAACCGTATGACGTATGATTGCGTTAAGCAAAGATAAAAATAATCATAGAACTATTAAAATACAAATAAAACATAGATTGTAGATACCTAGCTAACTAAATACTAATTAAATATCAAAATTTGTGTTAAGCCGAGTTAGGTGTTCCTCAACGAGATTGATAGATGTATGACAAATATACAAGTAATGATAAGTACCATATTAGGTAAACGACTTTTAGTATACTATAACGATTAATAGGAAATGTTTAAAAGGTCCATGTCGCTGGCACCCCCCATTTTGAATTTTGGATTCAAACCCAGGGCGATCGTTTGTGCTTCGTTAGTGCTTTAAACCCCGTCGTTAGTGCTTTATCCCTTCCAGAGTTATTCGCATTTCATACAGGGGGTGCCGGAAACATGCCAGCACCCCCCATTTCGAATTTAGACTCCAAATCAATTTTAATCGTTTGTGTTTCGTTAGTGCACGTTAGTGCTTTAAGCCCCGTCATTAGTGCTTTTTCCTTTTCAAAGTTAATCGCATTTCCTACAGGGGGTGCTGAAAATGTATTAATTTGAGTCCAACCCCCCGATTTTTGTCTAAAAATCTTCAATATAATGAGGCAAAGATGATCCTTAGGTACATTCTAGTTAAATCTCGTTGTTTTGGAGTTTAATAACTTTTATCTAAGTTTTAAATTTTTACAATTATTACGTTAGTATTACACATTTTAATTTAATCTCCTGTATATAATATTATAAAAAACTACAAAACCTATAAGTATAGGTATTATTGGTCATGTATTTTTTTTCTTTACTCAAACAAGCATAAAATTTCATAGGTAACTCATGCTAATTTCATAAGTATTAAATATGTACAAAATAATTATTATTTAAGTTATATAAGTAGTAAGGTACCAAGGTGAGTTTTTTAGAATTTTTACAAGAAGATTTCCAGTTTTATCTATCACTGGTCTAATAGACATTATCGATATTTTTCCATATCATAAAATCATATGTAGAAATGAATTTAATTTGAGCCATTAAACTATTAGTGGAATAAAGCATAAATCTGAAACTAGAAAAAAAATACATTTTCTTTTTTTACGTAATAATTGTAAAAATTTAAAACTTAGATAAAAGTTATTAAACCCCAAAACAACGAGATTTAACTGGAATGTACCTAAGGATCATCTTTGCCTCATTATATTGAAGATTTTTAGACAAAAATTTGGGGGTTGGACTAAAATTAATACATTCTCAGCACCCCCTGTAGGAAATGCGATTAACTTTGAAAAGGAAAAAGCACTAATGACGGGGCTTAAAGCACTAACGTGCACTAACGAAGCACAAACGATTAAAGTTTGTTTAGAGTCGAAATTCGAAATGTGGGGAGGGGTGCTGGCATGTTCCTGGTACTCCCCTGTATGAAATGCGAATAACTCTGGAAAGGTTAAAGCACTAACGTGCACTAACGAAGCACAAACGATCGCCCTGGGTTTGAATCCAAAATTCAAAATGGGGGGTGCCAGCGACATGGACCTATGTTTAAAAATTAATTGAATCTAATCTAGTCATTTGCTTAGTATTAGAAACAAAATGTTGAGTATGTAATTTTTACCAACATCAATAAATTGCCCAATTTACAACTGAAATAAAATATCAAAATAAATCAAAAAATTATATCCATCATAAATACATAGAGTAAAAATCGATTAAGCACCTATATCTACCTCAATACGGGATGTCAATGACGACCGTGATATGACGATATATATTTATGTGATGCCTTATGAATTGATATTTTATCCGCTTCTATAGTTCATATTATACGCCTATTAATTAATAATAATAAAAAAAAAGTTATTAAAATAATTATAAAAATAAAAAACAACAAAACGCAATGGATATTCAGAGTTACTCACTCAATTTGGATGTGATGTGTTCACATTGGCGCCACCACAACCTCCTTGAGTGAGCGACTCGAGAATCTACATGCTCGTCGCTGAGAGCAACATGCAATACGCTCGTGGATTATTTATGTTGGAATAACACTACAACACGACAATATCGACTAACGACGCGGCGTAGACTATATTTTTCATTCGTGTCTACGTTTTATCATAATTTGTATTGTGAATAGCACTTGCAGTCAATTGAGATCTAATATAAAACAAAAATCGTGTATTTAAAACGATAAAAAAAATAGTGTTAATATTACCCATATATTCAGTCTTATTGAGATGTAAAATACTTGAGTAAAAGTGTTCAAACATTCTTTAAGTACTCAAAAACTACGTATTTTAAATACTTTATCAATATATCTATCGATTTGTATTAAAATTCAAATATTTTTCTTCGTAGTTTACACATTTTTTATTAAATCACGGGAGAATCAAACTCCTTTTCAGGCCCATCGGACCTATAGGATTCAAGTATGGGGCGCTGCCAAAATTTCCAATCTAAACCGCATCCAAAGATTTCAATCTAAAACCTCATGTACAATACTAAAAGCGCCATTCTATGTTTTTAACCACACCCTCCACACTGACCTCAAAATATCTTTTGTCTCCGAACTAGCCAGAACACTGTATAAACGTTTCAACACCCGACTAGCCCACCATAAGAATCCCTTAATCTCCGGTCTATCTTCTGCTTCTATTCCAGGCAATCCTATTAAAAGACTTAAAAAACAGTGGTGTCGTGACCTATTAGCCTAATTAAATTTATATTCATGTCGTAGTACCTCCGCTGAGAGGCCTCTATAGCCGTCAAATCTGTCTCTTGTTTTTTTATTTATTTATTTATTTTATTTTTATTTTTTTAGGTATACCATCAATTATTCTTATTGATCTTATTTTTATAACAGATTGAATAAATAAAACTTATATAAAAAAAAATATTACGGGAGTGTAAAGTGTAAATATTATTATGATTCCTATCAACACACGTTATATCACCGATAGGCAATAATATATTACATTATTATTTTACTTATTTTTGTATTGACTATTGACATTACGTACATTATCAGATTTATGTGATACGCAATTTTATGCAGTCCAATAATAAACAATAATATAATAATCGGTGTTGTTTATTTTTTTTCAGTTTGCGGACGAGGCGCTTGGATAAGGTAGATCACGGATGGGTGAGGTCAGACTTGAACAGAGCGTTTCAGGTGTGGTCCAAGTATTCTAAACTTACATTCCGGGAAGTTAACAGCGAATCTGCAGACATATTGGTGTTTTTCGAAAAGTGAGTGTTGATGGACGCTGTCTTAGGTAATATTTATGCATTATGTAGCGCGCAATGTATAATACCTATGTATCATGTGTGTTTACATTCTGGGATGTAGAGCTGGAGAAATCAAAATTTAATATAAACAGTGTTTGAAAAAAAAAAACCTTAAATTTTAAATCAAAATTGATTATTTTTTAAAACAATTTATTATACATCTACATGAGTTATTTCGTCGTAAATATTAAAACTATATTTAATTTAGTTTGTATAATGTGATAAGTTATCAATTTGATTATATTTCATCGTTATAACTGCAAATCGCGTAATTCCATAACAACGCGTAACCAATGAAATCGGATAATCGAAAAAATGTAATACTCGATTCATTACATATAAATTTCATATCTGTTTTATAATTTTTGAACTTTTGACATATATTCGTATATATTGCACATAGCACGCGTAGCTTATAAGTTATATTAATATTATAATATAATCTGAATATTCTAAATCATCTTGATATATTTAATTCAGAGGCTACCACGGCGATGGATATCCATTCGATGGACCTGGTCAAGTGTTGGCTCATGCATTTTTCCCGGGCACCGGACGAGGGGGTGACGCTCATTTCGACGAGGAGGAAGAATGGCTGGTGGCAGACAAGACGAGCAAAGATGGTGAGTACTAGAAAACGACTTCACTTAACGAGTACACGTGGGTGTTTGTATGTTAAAAAATAAGTTTCAATTCCCCTTGTGATAAAACCACTTATAGTATATAATAGCTTTTACGTATAGTAAATTTTAATGACATAAATAAGAAATAACTTAAAATCCTTCAGACTTTGTCTTCCCAAATTTCCATCCAATCCTCGAAGAGTATTGATAGGTACTCTATTCAGTTTTTTTTTTTCTGTAATTTTGAAAACAATCTCAATAATAGTATATTATTAAAAGACAAAAATTTATTAGACTATAATTATTTTCGTGATACCTAAATAATATAGGTAAGCAAAATTAATTTATATAAACACAAATTAGTAGTTTTATATAATTAATATTTCTAGTAATTTTTAACAGTGTAGGTATTACAATATTGTTTCAAATACTTACATCTGGGCACTAATTACAACTTTGCACATGAATCAGTTGCAACACAATTTAGCTTATATATATATATATTATTTACTATTCTGTGTCATAATATTAATGCAAACACTCAGTTATAAAAAAATCATAGGTTATTTACCTCGTCTATACTCTTATTTAGAAGGGTTTATTTAATAATTTAGACCCTGCGTGCAAATGATATATATTAAAAATTAATTTCAATAAAAAACCTCGTATCTTGCTTAAATAATATGTATATAAATATTTCGTCAACATTATGAGGACAAATTATTTATGCGATTGCAATTTGCAGTGTATGTCTTGAAAGTCTTATTTTTTATGTCTATTATATTATTTAATATCTGATAAACTTACGTACGTTAATATTATGAACTATTTAAAAACAACTGTTTACGTATCTACAGGAACCAGTCTGTTCAGAGTGGCTGTACACGAATTCGGACATTCACTCGGTCTTTCACACTCGTCGGTACAAGACGCGTTGATGTTTCCATGGTACCAGGATCTTCAATCCGACTTTGAACTTCCCAACGACGACCGTATCGGTATACAGGTCCTTTACGGTAAGTGTATACTGCAATTTCACTGCAAAATTTGCGTACATCCTTAAGACTATAAAAATCAATTATTACTTATAGATTATAATAATCTTTTTCCGAATTAATTAATACGTCGCACTTTACGTTATGATAACATTTATCTCACCGGACTCTCATACGACAGATGCATCGGAAATATTATTAATTATTATTATTATTTTTTATTAACCTTTCAATATTTAGTTTATGTTTTTAGTACTATTCATAATACAGTTCACTAATAGTGTTTAATTAAAAACCATCAAATATATAAATACATTGAAAACAGAAGAAGCATTTAATTATTATTATGAATTCTAAAAAACTACGTAGTTAATTAATGTAATTATTACAATTATTTACTTTAACCAAAATAACAATATAATGATTTTCGATATCTTGAAGAAAATAACAACTACAATTTTTTATCCATAATATTAATTATTTATTAATTTCTTTTAAATAGGTGCGAAAGATGACAAAAGTTGGGGTGACATACCGGTTTACAGACCTACTTCGCAGAGACCGATTCTTTCAACAACTGTTCCGGCTACAACAGCGGTTACCAGATACTCAACCATGGCCAGTGATACTACACCGGAATACACTACCAGCAGGACAACGCCACCGAGAAGACCGGACGTTGCAGTAGTCGTTGACGAAAAACCAGACTTTTGCAACACGTCCTTTGATGCAGTTTCGATCATACGGAAGGAGACATTCTTCTTCAAAGGCAAATATACGTGGAGATTAGGCACAAAGGGACTATACGCCGGATATCCGGCTCTGATCTCCAGGTTGTGGTACAACTTGCCCGAAAATATGACTCAGGTGGACGCCGTATACGAAAGACAAGACGGCAAGATTGTGTTTTTCATAGGTTAGTAAAATAATTTTATTACAACGTATTGACAAGTTCAGACATTTAAAACATATATATATATATATATCATAACATATCTTATTATTTTTTCTAAGAACAACAAGACTTCCTATAGCTGGAGGCATAATTATTTTCAAAATTAACTTTTTCTACAATTACAAATACGAAATATGATATGCTCATAACTTACATCTTAATCTACGATTGAAAACTTTATCAATAAATTAACTCCTATAAATATCAACTATTTGCGTCTTTACACGTCTCGCTCCCACAATTCGTAGAAATGTATATAATATGTTACTTATAAAATAACATCCCTTCCTGTTAAAATTTCTAGGACACACCACTGAATATGTATTTTTTTTACCATAAAATAATTTAGTAAAATTTTCACGTATTGGTTATTTTCCGCGCAGGTCGCAACTATTACGTGTTCGACGGCAACAATCCACTGCCAGGATACCCGAAACCGTTGACGACGCTCGGGCTACCCGACGAATTGGACCATGTGGACGCGGCAGTCGTCTGGGGTCACAATAGCAAAACGTACATATTCAGCGGCACCATGTACTGGAGGTGCGACGATGAAACGAACCAGATGGAGCTGGACTACCCGCGGGACATGTCCATATGGCGAGGCGTGGGATACAACATCGACGCGGCGTTCCAGTGGCATGACGGTGAGCGGAACCACGATAATTATTTCTGAATTATACCAATAATTTTCGTAATTATTTGTACCAACTACTCCAGGGCTAGGCAAATGAAAATTCTATAACCATTTAGTTAAATTTCAAATGCATAGCTTCTGAATTTTAAGTCGGGTGTCTGCGGCTGGTGTGTCTGACAAATATTCACCATGCTGCAGTGCAGAAACAGAATTATAGCTGTACAAATATTCGGTGTTTAGTACTTGTTATTCGCCACCTCCCCGTGGGTCATCGATAAAGTGATTATACACGAGTCAAAGAAATGTGTGTCATACGTGTTTGCGAGTCACGGAAACCCAGCATGGCAATGGCGGGTAGTGAACAATTTCAGTCGCAAGCGACGTAGTTTGCTGAAATTAACTGAAATAGTCTCCACGCATTAGCGCAATATAGTTCAGTAGGAAACAGCTGTATGATGTAATATCTGCAAACACGAAATAACCGCAGATATAATGCATGATCGATTTAAGTCAAAATTTATATATTTGTATTTATTTGTTACCTATATCGATTAAGACTGAAATTGTATAGCGAGTTGGTACTTCCGACTGATAAATAATGGCAACACGAAATTTGTGTGTTTTAGGCGCAACGTACTTCTTCAAGAACCGCGACTTCTGGAAGTTCAACGATCTCAGGATGCGCGTCGAACAGGAGGAACCCAGATCGATCGGCGAGTTCTGGTTTAACTGCACCGCGACGCGAAGTGGTGGAGGCAATGGTGACCGGTGGCCTGTCACCAAAAACAAGGGCCGGACGACCGGTCAGAAGGGCACCGGAAGCCGTGGTGGCCGATTTCAAACCGCCGACGACAAACCATCCGGCGCTGACGACGTAGATTCTTCGAGGTCCATCGCCACGGATCGTACGCCACCGCCGATCGTGACGTGGTCGATCACGGTGGCGTCGCTCGCGACAATCGCCCAATGGATGCGGTGAGAGTCACCGCGCGAAAAACCGTATCGCGTATGATGTATTTATAAAGTTATAATTATTGTGATGTATAAATGTATAATTGTTCGCGACGTCCGGCAAAGTGCCGGTCGTCAAGTGCGACGACTTCGAGATAACGAAAATCGCGATTTCGTCCGAGTCATTCGACCAAATAATAATATAATACAATAACTGATGTGTCTGGTGCGACTGCCGCAGAGTTTATTTGGGCCTGGAAACGAGATGAGCGAGAGACAAAAGAAAACATTCGGTTTTGTTTTACTGGCCAACTGCAGTGTCAAATTTCGGGTGCAATAAGACTTGCCGCCGCGGTGATAAAACAGTTCAGTGATTTGGTGTAGATAATAATATACTATAATATATACTTTAATACGTCCAATAATACTCGTAATCCTCCCATCATGATTTTATTTTGTTTTAAAGTCTTCTTCAGCCGTGAGTACATGTGAATAATAATATATTTTTAATATTTGAATAGTTGTACAACTTAATCTAGCGTATAGCGTACGTCCAAATGGTGTGGCAGTATTTTTCTCTGATCGACCCTTAAAATTCAATGATTCTTCCCATCGTGTTTATTACGCTTTGATCAATTTTACAAATTATTGATATTGATAGATCAATATTAATTACCTACTAAAATTTTCAGTTCACCACTTAGCCTCCATATCTTTCTAACCCGTTATCATGGACTTACGTATCTGTCATCTTTAAATACATAAAGTCAAATAACTCAAAAATCATTCGTTCAAATTTTGATTTTTATACGTCAACATATTCAATAGAATTATCCGCTAAATAAATTACAGATAACTGGAAGGATTTCCATTTGATCAATGAAAGTTTAAATATCCGCAGGAAAATTCTTAAATAATACAAAAATGTCAATAATTTAAAAATATGGTCTTTGAGTGTAAATATATTTAAAACCTCAAAAATTTAAATTTTTAATAACTATATTATTGATGAAAAAAAAAGGTGACTATGCTTACTGATCAGCCTATATTTCCAAAAATAGTAATAAAACTGCACCCCTAATCACCTGTTCACAGTAAGCATTTTTGGGAAATTTTAATAAAATGCTATTCCGATCGTGTTTTTAGACCTTTAAACAAATCACTCCATCTTACGAGGTACAGTAGTGTTGTGACTACATTTTATCGTCATCAAACTCTACGTTATTTACAATGTCTAATGAATTTGTGATATTTTTTTCTAACAACATTATTATATTATTAAAAACCTACATGTATAATTGTATAAATATATTTACTATATATATTGGTATTCGATTTATGGATATTATATTATTGCGTTATTATATATTACTTAAGCTATTTATGAATATACTATAATTATAATATATTTGTTATTATGTACGTATAATATTATAATATAAAATATATTATTAAAATCTGTGTTATACCTATATTTAAAATTATATTTATGGATCTACCTATAATTATTATTATTTTTTTTTTTTTTTTTTTTTTGATATCGCCAATGTTTTTTCTACTTATGGTTTTTTTAATTTGTAAAAATAAAATAATGTAATTGTACTTAAAAGTGAAAACGTTTTTTAATGCTTTTCGCAGTACCTATCTTAATATTATTACATCTATTTAAATAGGTATTTAATAACAGCGTGATCTACAATATATCTCAGTTTGTGTCTTCGTGATAACAGGACAAAAGGTAATGAAAATTTTTAATCATTTGCAATAAAATAAAATGTTTTTAAGTTTTATAAGCAATTATTTGTAAAATAATTAAAGCGTTGTTAAGAATTCCATTACAAACTGCATAAATTAATTATAGATATTTATAACTAGTTTATCTGACGTTTTTATTATTTTTAATATTACACACTGCTTATTAAATTCCCCAAATTATGCTATTCAGGTGAAATATTCTGTAAAAGTTCAGTTTAGCTCATTTCTGCGTATAGTTATGACATGCTTTCATTCTGTGCCGCTCTCATATCTATCTTTCTAATAATAATGACCCACACACGCAATACCCTAATTATCGCTTATCTTTTTTTTTATTATATCTATTTTGTTATTCATATCCAAGGTTTATAGATCTATAAACCTTGATTCATATCTACGTTTGTGTCAACATAAGCATTACACATACGGCGGTCATTACCGCACACTTACCGTTCACAACCGCACATTTTACACCGTTCAATACCACACACATTGGGTGTGAATTTAGGGGTGCTGGAATAATTAATGGTACACAGATCCGTGGGGGGCTTTTCCCCCCACGCCCCTCAATACTATAATAAACTAAATAAGGCTGAGATTTTGATGGAAAGGCATATTTTTTTCTGGTGTTTTGAAACTTTGGTCTGTAAGTATAAAATATGTTTTGGGTGATACCTACTGATTATTTTTATTTTTTTTTGCACTTTTCACAATTTGTTCATAAAATGAAAAAAAATTGTTGCGATTAACAAGAGACTTTCGGCAAACTGCCAACAGTACGAATAATAAGTTATCGTTGATAATACCTTTTATTTTTAATTATTACTTTAGAATGAATGATTAAGAAAACAGAAGTACATAAGAACTAAAAAAGTAACAACAACCATTTTACGAAAATTGAAACAGTGAAACGTATATTCATACAATAGATTTTTAACCATGAATTCATAAACTGCATAATGTCTATTTGTAATGGAAAAAAAAATTTCAGCCAAATGAATCACAATAATTTTTAAATAATTAGTAAAATACTAAAATAAATTTTACAGGGAACTGGGGGTGCTGATTTGAAGCCTGGGTGTGTTAAGCACCCCACTATGTGCGCCTATATTGTTTAAGAAGCCTTTGTCCAGTCACGTCAACAAACCTTTGACTTTGGATAACATTTGATCTCTGCTAATATAAATTATAACGTAAATACTTATGACTCCGGCTTTAATAACATCAATACTAAACTATCCAACCTCGGGTCTGGCTTTAACGTTTTCAAGAATTTTTTGGGATAATTATCTTTTGAACTTTCTAATGTTAAAAAATATAATGATGATCTATCTTCAGAGATCCTGTAGTTATTACACAATAGAATAACTCAACTAGAACACTCCCAGTCATCTGATCTCGACATAGTAAAAGAATCTCAGATATTATAAAAAAAAAGAAAAAAACTTGATTAGGTATATTTTAATGTGTCTGATTTTTATTTCGAAAATTCTTTTATAACTACTAGTTTAATTAATTAGACCTTTAAATAATTACTTAATCCTGTCTCAGTGTCTAATGCTTGTTACACTCTGTATATATATTTGTAATAATGCTTTTCCGAGCATGTAAGAGACTTCAGAACTTAATTTACTTCGTTCTATCATTCCGTGTTTAAATTTAACTTTTTTGTATTAATTGAAACTTCATTATGTGATTTTATCCACAACAAAGGACTTTATTTTAATAATTGCAATATTTTCCGTTTCGATCTTAATTACCTTACCAGCAAATGCAAATGAGATGTAAGATAGTTGCTCTATGTATACATAACAAATTCCATGCTATCCAGTTAAATAGGAGTTTTCAATGTCTTTAACAATTCATTGTAGAAATTAAGCTAAACTGTAAGAGTAAAATTATCCTGATTGTTTGCTATATTCATCCGTATAATCCCTTATCTATTTATGTAAACTTCATTAATTCACTAGAGTGATTGCAATCTACTTCAACTATTAATCATAAAATATTAATAATGGCCAATGGGTGACTTTAATTTGCCTTTAGCCACATTTAGATCTGATGGCGTAATGGAGATAACTGTGTTATCTCTAAATGCTCCGATGCGTTATTTGATTTTTTCCGAAAATTACTTTTTGCAATATAACCTTATAAAAAAACCAAGCTAACTCGCAGTTAGATTTAATCTTATATTCTTATCTAATATAAATAATACTAAAGTAATCGAATACCATGAAGAATTAGTAGTACCTATTATATATTATTATTATCTATAATAAATGTCTATCACTCGGTTATTGAGATTAGTTGTGAACATGAGATTTCATCTGGTTTTCTACGCAAAAAAAATTATGAAACAGGTATATAATTTTAAGAATGTCGGTTTTAATTTAATAATGTAATTTTGACTGGTCAATTAATCTATACAACTCACGATGCGCTGATTTTACCGCTAATTGAGTTATTCTATTGCATTGTATCGGATGTCATCAATAATTATGTACCTAAATATACTTTCAGTAAACAAATCTACCCAACCTGATTTTCAGCTTAACTTCGAAAAACTTTAAAAAAAAAGTTAGCTATTCACGTAAAATATAAAGCCTTCAATATACATTCTGATTATATATAACTTTCGGATACGATGTAAACTACTATAACTTATGAGTACTTATAATGTCATTCAGATCATTTTATTCACACCTATAAATACTTATTAACAATCCTGAATATTTCTGGTACAATATAATAGAAATAATGCTGATATTAGTGATATCCCAGTTTCTGTTCACCTATCAGATAAAACTTTTAATAACCACTCAGAAGTTGAAAATTCATTCAGTGAATGATTCTCTTCGGTTAATGAGAAACCTATTAGGTACATTTAATGATTTAACTACGATAAATTGTGCCTCTTCGTCTAGCCCAGATTCTATTCTTCCTATTTTATAGTTAATTGATATTGAACATGGATTATATAGTGTTAAATCTACATTGCCTAACTAATATTTTAGTATTCTATTATTATTAAGTAGAAATATAAAATATAATTGCATCATATGATCAATTTGATGCTATTTGCATTGACTTTCACAAAGATTTCAATAAGGTACATTTCGATTTTCTAGCAAAATTAAGTGAATTGAAGATAAGAAATCCACTATATACCTATTATTTTGGTTTTCTGCATATTTAAGTGGTCGTTTTTAACTAGTACGGATAAATAACTTTGTGTCCAAGACAATTAAGGTTATTGAAATAATAAGTAATAAGTAATATAAATAATATTTATTATTTATGTATTATTTTACACATTATCGATGATGAAACATTGATAGATGAACCGAAACGCACTTATTTATTGAAAATTAACCGAGCCATAGGATGCTACCTACGTTACCTGAAGAGCGAGTCTTTGGTCACTAGTTCATTTTTAACCCGAATAATGGTATGCAGAGGTAATAACCGTGGTACCTATTAAAACACAGTCTAATTCTTGCATGTAGAACCACACGTTACCAATAGGTAGGTAAAAGGTATACGTCTTGCAAGAACTAGAAATTGAAATGGACAACTGAACAAGTTTCACGTCTTAATTAATTCTTCGTTTAAGTGAGCGAATGAGGTACAATAATAAAGCACACGAGTGTTCTCTCTAAACGGTCAATGTATTATGTAACGAAACTGTGCGACCAATTGACAGTCACACGTTGGCAAAATCCTATCGTTTCGATAGCAGTTCCTACTCGAAATCTGAAGATTACAGCTTTCTACGGTAATCGCTTAATTTCACCAAATTTAGTAATTAGTATATCTACCATTACACAAAATAGTTTAAAACATTTTTAAAATAAAATTTTTAGAAATAGAAAACTCAGTGCGAACTGCGCAAGAAACCAGCGTCTTACCATTAAATGAAGCCTGAGTAGCACCGTTCACAAGAACTTACTCCATAAAAGTAAATATGACGGTAATTATTTTAGGCCACCACACTCGTATTTATAATTCTGACAATCAATTTTTCGCTGCTAGGACTTTTATGTAGAAAACATTGTTATATAATATATCATATTATAATAATCTACATATAATTAATAGTCTATTTTTTTTTTATGAAACTTCATTCATAATAAATGTTTTTCATATACAATAATATATCCATTACAGTGATCCAACCAACACCTAAATACTTTATGTATAACAGAGCGACACCCACTTTCTTACTTTTTTTTTCATTTGGATTAACCGTTATTTAATTTTTTTTTTTTTACTGAAGATGTGGGTGACTGGTTTTAACTATTTTAATTCATTTGTGATACACAGAAGTGTATTATAATTATACTCGTACATTAAATTCTCATTGATGAATATTTATTTTCATTTTTGTTATTACACTGGTTTGGTTTTTATTTCAATCATAAATCAATTAATAAAAAAATTTAATATTAAATAAATGTATAAATATTCATTCTCACACAAAAAAAAAAAACTTTTCACTGTCTAATTATAATTCAGACATTTACTATGTAAAACAAAAATTGTAATTTAAAAAATCTTGTATAAAAATACTAAAAATCATTGAAATAAAATTTATAAATAACTCATTATTCATTATTATAAATTAAATTTAAAAAAACTCATTGTATTTAACTATTTTTATACTTAAAAACAAAATTTAAAAAACTTTTAAATGTTATAAACAACTATGAGCTTAATAGGAATAATTATTAAAAATTAACACATTAAATACACATAATTACACAATAATTATTGTGTTTTATTTTTTCACAACAATAAAATAGAAAAATAAATTGTTGTATAAGTAAAGAATTTATAATGAATCATTAAAAATTTTATGAAAACCAAAATGATTATTAATGTTCAATATTTGTTAACGTCGACTTGTACGCTTATAATATTTATCATTATTAATTTGTATCTGAAGAGGAGACACAGAGCGAACATTATAACGTTGACCATGTTTTCTATGAGGTCCTAGTCTACTTTTAATATGTCTCTTTTCGTACACATCTTCATCACTCGTGTAATCACCATCATCTTCATGTAAATACTGGCGGCGCGGAATATCACGACGAGTTGCACGACTAAATGGAATATCAATGTATTCATCGTCATTAACATCTTCAATATCTACTTCTAGCGACTCATCATCAAGATACTGATGCGCTTTAGCAGCGCGAATTGCTTTGGCTACTTTAGCAGACACCAAACGCCCATTAAGGCGTTCTCGCAGGTCATTGGCTATATTTACTTGATGTCTGATAAAAATAAATAAATTGTAAATGAAAACATTTAATCATTATACATAATTTTTAGTTATATATACCTTGATGAATTTGAAGCTGAATTCAAACGCTTCCTTGTAATAGCTTGTGTTTCATCATCTGCATACATACGCATTCTTGGTATCTTGCTCTCTCTATACCTAGCATCATTATAATCATCATCGTCATCTTCACTAGCTGCACCTGATGATGACGTAGGTGGCGGTGGCGATGGAGTGCGTACTTTGGATTTGTCTACAATGATCAACAACACACAAAACAATTATGTGAGTATACAATACAATTTAAAAATACATTAAGTCAATAATGTCTTATTTAATTTAAATATTTTATTATTATTAAAAATATATTTATTTTTATTAAATATTATGATTATTTTTTTTTTCAAATAAAAACACTTAAAAAATCACTGATGCGTGTTAATATTCAAAAAGTCAATTTTAAAAAGTAACAATACATCCTAACAAAAGCTCCATTTAGATAATAAAACATTTTGTTAATTTAATATGTATGGCAAATGCTTATTATTATTTTATACACTTAGTCATATTGTTTTCTCAGAATCTAAACTTAACCTAACCATTGATGACTGTCATTTTTTTATTAAAGGCCTTAATACATTTTTTCTAAATATTTATAAAATATTAGGTACAAGTATTTTATTTGACAATTCTACAAAAGTTATCATTTTTCCACTTCTCAAAAACATGTTTGTAGTCAGTTTTTAATTTTTTTTTTTTTTTTGAAATATTATGAACTGCATAACACATTAACAATTAACCAAATTGATATTCAGTTTATAAATAAAGATTTAGTGTTAACATTAAGCAATAGGAAAAATATAAAAATTAATTTATATTTCATTTCATATACATTAAATTTTTAGATAAATATGAATTTTTTTTTTTCTATTTAACACTTAAGACTTTTACAAACCAGTTAATAAATTATCATTGACCGGATTTGGCATGCAAACCACAATAACTATCTAATCAGATTTATTCTTATAATAATAGTGATAATAATTTATCATGTTTTATCCAGGTTTGAAAAACAAAAATAAAATAAATTTGTAGGTTACTGAAATAATTTACAAGAAAAAAAGGATTTATACGTTTACATCTTATTTTTTTTGTAAATTCTCCTTTTAGTAATCTACAAATTTATTTTGTAATTGTTTACAATGTAAACGTATAAATTGTATACCAAAAGTTATAATTAAATCAAAAGTGACGATATTGAGGTTCACCTCCATCACAAAAAAACATACATTTAGCATCCATAGCATTGTCATATTGGCTCCAAGTTTTGGCTATGGCAGTCCAAGTGTTAATTCCTGGATTTTTGGCCAATTTCCACCGAACATCATCTTTCAACATTTCATCACCAATATCAGGATGGTTGATAACTGGTATAAACTTACGTTTACGACTTTCTTGAGAGAATAATTCATAATCTATCAAAAAAATAAATAAATAAATAATTTGTTAATTATATATGTTTTAGTACAGTAAATAATTAAAAATATTTATACTAACCTCCATCTTCAATATCAGTACTTTTGTTCTTTACATCCTGCTTGTCATACACAGTACTATATCTCATCAATATACACTTGGATTTTTCATGTGGTTTAATTGCTTTTCTCCATATACCTGGGGGCAACTCGTAACCCACACAGCTAACATAATCTTCCGATACTAATACCTACAATAACATACATGACAAAATAATAAATTATATATCTTAGATATGAGATTGCTCTTACATCATCTTGATCCATGTGATCATCATTTTGATTTTCATTTAAAGCTCCATGTTCATTGTTTAATTCGTCAGTAACTGTAGATGTAATATGCTTTAGCTCGCGTATTGGACGAGTCAAGTCCAATAATGCCTTAGTAGGCATTCGATCATCCAGCCATACAACATTGCCTAAAAGTAATGATAAAACAAAAAATTTAATGTAAAATAAAAATAAGTTCAGAAATGTTTTGTGTAGGTACTCGACAAAAATCCACTAACATTCAGAATTTGATACCCATTCCAAAAATTTAGGATCGTATTGATCGAAATATTCAATGATATCTTTAGTGGTCATTCCCATGACTCCGTGCAAATGTAAAGCATTCAACTGAATGTCTTTGTTGTTTTTATTCATGCCAAGACTGGAAAGCAAAATATACATTGACTTACTAAATCTATAAACTCTACTATAACGTACCTGTTTAGAATATACTGGACTTGTTTGTCCGTGATACCTGATATATTATGTGCAGGCTGTTCATTTGAATTAGATGCAGAGGCTGCTTGGAACGTGTTTCTATTTAACTGGTAGGGAGATACATCAAGATTAATATTTTAATTATGTGTGAAAGAGATAAACATAAAATAAGGACACATACTTTGGGTCTATTTAGCTGTGTCATTGGCTGACTAGTCCGCGCCGACGTGCTGTTGTCGATCGGTTGTTCGTCGTCGCTGTCTAATAGTTCACCAGGTTCCAGAAAACCGTCAGATAGGATGTCATCTGTATCACTGTTTGCCATCGTGATCGTCGAACAAAGTTAAAGCTCCTACCTAATCCGGTTCTAGCTACTCCTGATCAAAATGCCAACTACCAGATTCTCGGTTCAACGCATTTTCAATGACGCAAGACACGAACAGGAATGATGATGAACGCGACGGACTCGAGAATTCGGGTAGCGACTAAGACTAACAATACGTTATCAATGACATAAATTTTTCTAAATTTCAGCACCACGAATAGTGATAATACAGATCACTGATTGAAAATAGATACTACGACTCACGAGCGGGCGTCGGGACGTCAATATTCAATGCGAAAGAATAAAATACGTGTGTTGAGCGTTGTTATTTCGTTTGGGCTTTACAGAAATACCGTCGTATCGTCGTCATTTACTGCAGTCATTTGCTGTTGAAAATCGTTTTTAGTTTGAGTTACGAGTTGATGACCGTCGCGACGGCGACCACATGATAAAACAGATTTGTTTTATCATGGATGATCGAACAACGGCGACGCGTACGGTACGACCATACGACGTCCGACTCCCTAAGAAAAGGATTCTGCTGTCTTTTGACATGTAATTCGGAATAAAGTATTTTACGATCGCTTTTTCGGTCGGCTTTAGTTTGTACATAATATCTATTTTTATTGTATAATATTCATAAATCATAATTAACGACAATGACGATATATTTTAACGGTGTAACCGTGTAACGCTGGAATTCTGTGCATTTTTTCCCGTCGTGTTGGTAATAATTCGGAATTCCGTCGCCAGTGGTCGTACGTGTTATCAATTAATACTGAACCACTTGGACACGACTGATACCACATTACCACCGCACGAACATCACAACAATGCATCGTCCTAACCACGAAAAGACTATAGATAGATTATACCTACTACCTACCATCACAGAGTAATAATTAGTTAGATCTTTGGTCTAATAAATAATAATTGTTTGCCTGTATTAGCTGTACTCTGTGCCATGTTGTCACTACTATCTAGATTCTAGGTTGAACATACCTTTTTTGCTCAGAATTATTTTTCATATCCAATGATTAATCATTGAATTCATATTAACATATCCATTCTAGTGACCAGTCTCAATGACGATGTATACAATCGAAAATGCATATACAACAGAGCGAACTTCTCCGGTTTATATTTTATTAAATTCATGAACAGAATCTTTTTATTTGAACTATTACTAGTCTGAGAGCTTATTAAATTACTCATACCTAATTATTATGGTTTATGTTCTATTTATTACATTCAAATCTTTGATATAACAAAATATATAACAATATTGAGAAATTTTAACTCTGATTGTACTGAATATACACTCAATTTATTCATCTTCAAAGTTATCAGTACAGTTGCTAAGAAGATAATACAAAGAAACAAAGTAATAGTAGTAGGTATAAATTATAAAATTTATGCAAACACACATTTTAATAAAAAGTTTTTATCTTTTTAGGACAACTCTAACTTTGAGTAAATAAAAAGAAATTTGTACCTGCAGTCGGCTTGACTCATCCTGATTCCTGGTGCTCACCTTTTTTATTATTAGTAAGTAGTAAATAACGTTTAATATATATATATAATATATAGTTGGTCATAAAAACTAACATTAATTTACTGTTCTCAAAGCATAATATATATAATTAAATATAAATGACATAATTTATTATTATATATTAGTAAGCTATACCGTTATAGAAAGAAGGAAACATAGTACCTACTCAAATAAAATTATAGAACTTATTTTTATACCCTATCAATTATTGTTATCATACTATAACTATAAAGACATCATGAAAAAAATTATTATTATTTTGATAATAAATTAGATTAGATATGTTCAATACTTTATTATGTTATTCCTTTATCGCATTTACTTATTGTGCCAAGGTACAGATTGTAAATTTATTTTAAAAATAAAAAAAAAAAAAATTATTTTGTGAAATATACGTAGGTATCCATAACTACGTATTAATTAGGTAACGGCTACCGGAATATAATATTGGTTTTATACGTTTATAGTTTTGTGAATTGGGTGAATATTTGTACGAATGTAAATAATCAGTAGTTAAACTTAAAAGAGAGCGCGTAAGCGGACCTTGTCCCTCAACTTCTGATTATGTGCTTAAAAATTGTCCTCTTTAACATTTCCTTTAAAAGGTATGCTAATAAAGCTCCATATTATCAAAAAAAAATGTTTATTGAAAATAAATATTATAATTTTAGTTAGGTGATATAATTTTATTAAATATTATTTAGCTTGATAAAAACTTTATTATATAGAATATTCGGAGAAAAATAATTACTACTTGTATATGTAGCTCCAACTAATAATAAAGTTGGAAACTACACATTTGCAGTAATTTAAACTACATATTATATTATTTAATAGAGATTATTATTTTTTTAAATTAAATACATAAAAAATTATATAGTTTAAACAGCTATAATATTTCAACTAATATATGATGTAGTTTTAACTATTATCATATGTATTATAAAGAACTACAGTTGATGTAAACATAAATGGAATTCATTCAATCGTGTGATTTTACCATGTGTACAGCGTTATTTAATAATATATATCTATTATACCGACAGTACCTAGGTACTACCCTATGGACCTATCTTATCTTAAATAAAATTGTAGTAAGTATAGGTATACTTAAATTAAGTTTAATTTTTTCTAACATCTATTCATCTCCCATTTATTGATCATATACTTTTCATTACGTATAATAATTGATGTAGGTAATAATATAGACTTTATAGTTTATATTTTATTACAATCAAACGTTATTATATACCTATTACAATTTTGTATTATTATTTTATGTGGTTTTGTTAAGAAAACTATATAGATATATTATATAAATGTTAATGAAAATGTAATTATCAATATTTTTTATTATATCGATATTGTTTTATTTTAGAAACAGTCTTTATTGTTTATGGTTAAATATTATATTGTATAGAAATAACCATTAGTTACACTATATAGGTTATATTTTGGAAAATAGGTGATAGGATTTAAATTTTTTAAAAAAAAATGAGAAATTTGCTTGCAAATTAAATAAATACTTTTTTAGAGTTTACATAAATATTAATCAATAGTCTTGGATAAAACGCCTTAATTTAATTTAATATAAAAAAAATAATAATAATATAAGTATTAATAAACACAAGGTCCCTCTATCTCATCTCCAGGGGAGCATTACTACTGGCTCATCATGGATATAAATAATAACAGCTAACCTAACCGTTTTTTGGGTATAAATTTAATTTTTTTTTAAATAATAATCGATTTAAAATATATATTTCATATTGTAATATTTTAGTGATATTATTATAGATAGTTCTGTTACGCAGAGTCTTATAAAACGCATTAATAAAAAAGTATACTTTCACTTACATTTTAAAAGCAAGAAGTATACTAGAAAGCAAAATAATATTTCGTGTGAAACAAGAAAATTGTAAAGATTCTATAAAAGATCGCTAAGCCATTGTAAAAAATTTTTTAAAAATGAAATTAGATACGTGGTTTTTTTATAGAAATATAGAATGAAATCAATATAGAGAGATCTCAATACAGTTTATTTCGAAAAATAAGGATAAGGATTCAGAGCTTTTAGTTTATACTTATATGATTGAAGCATTATGTATCAACTATCGAGTTTAAGAAAATGCAGTGCGTTATATAAATATAAAATTATTTTCCTAAAACGAGGAAGGAATATTATGATTTACATAAGAGAATAATAAAAAGAAGTTTCCTTCAAATGACTAGTTTTTGTGCTTTGAAAGTGATATTTTGACGTACCTAGTTGATTTGAATTATAAAATTGATATATTAATGAAACAACTGAAGAATTGTCAAAATGTTTGCTTTTAAAAAGCAAGAAAAAATACTGAAATTTATTTATATAAGTTACCAATATTTTAATTATAGTTACGAGCCTCTAATATTATTTGGCTCGGACTCAAATTTTTTTTGACTTAACATTCCCTGCCGATGGCTATGACAGCGAAATTAAATCTAAAAAAAATTGTAAGTGAAAATATTTATTTAAGTTTATATAGAACGCTCAAACTATTAAATAGTTTATAGATATCACGTACGTAGATATATATTTTGTCATCTTTTGCTACTATTTGAACCCTGTATACTGTATAGGCAGTATTTATTTAAGTAAGTATACCAGTTTTAATATCTATATAATATGTTGTTTGTCGAAAATAGCTTTTAATATAATTAAACATAATTTAGTGTAGTTATGTGTTATGATATAATTACATTTATTTTTTATACTTAAAGGACTTGAACCTGTAATTTTTCAAATTCTGAAATAACACGCAATTTATATGTAAATAGGTGTGTATTATTACAGCCTTTCTACCTAGGATAGATGATTATGATTCAGATGATCGGTTCCTATAGTGACGGAGGCCAACAAAACGTAGGAATCTATTAAATGTATTAAATGAATTAAATCTATCTAAAGCTATTAAATGGTAAGTAATCGAAGATAAATTTATATTGCAGCCTTGATTCAGTTAAATCAATAGAATCGAACCGTATTATATATATATATATATATATATATTAGAAAAGGGAAAAATCCACTGTCATCTGAAAATATAGCGTATGGTATGGTTTTTTAAAGATAAATATTATATTAAAGTATTAAACTAAAAAATTCAAATAATTTTTAAGTAAATTTAATGTCAATTATACCCATGTCCAATTTTTTTTTTTGTAATGATTACGTTTAGTAAATAGTTAATTTATTATAAATTTTAATTGAATAACTGTAATAAATCTAATGTATTGAAATAAATATATTTTTTTTAAAAATTATCTCATGATAAAATTTCTTATCTTTGAAATACAAAAATATTTAATTTATTTTTAGGATATATATCTAGTATCTACACATATTAGAATATTTATTCTATCCCAGCATAATATTTTAATTAAAATTATAAATTAATTTAATAAACTTAAGAATATTATAATTAATAAAATAATAAATCAACATTTTTAAAATATTAAAATAATTTAATAACAATGTTTGTTAATATCTAATTATTATTGATTTAAATTAATCAATTTAGGTTATAGATAGTTATAAAACGCAATTCGACTACAGTAAATCAAATTTTTGAAAGAGTAAATATTTTCAATATATAATGTTCAATTTCTTGGTATCTCAAACAGTTATAATTTAAACTTGAATTATGTCAATAAGTGTAAACGAACAATAATTATTTTATAACTAATCAAAGTATTCGGAAAAGGAAATAACCGACGTCTAATATTATACAATATTAGGTAAGTAGATACCGGTAGGAGTGAAAAAAAATAATGAAATATTGTATTAGAATTATATTATAAAAATGATATGAAAAATATTAATTGCTAATAATATAAACATAAAATTGGTTGAGCATGTTTTGGAAAAATTTCGATTCGTGATGGTTTAATAGTAATTAATAATAGTGTTTCAAATACATGATCACATTGTGTATTTTGTAATATATTTATATCAAATCATTAATGTTGCTGATCATATTAAACGTGTCGAAATTGACAATTTTCAGCTAGTAAATTATAGGAATTCAGAAAACCAGAATTATTTACCTTCAGTCTATACATTATACGCAGTATAGTATTATATCCCAGAGCCCCAGAGGGACGTCATATATATATATATCTATTTATCTATTCAAGTAAATGTCATTAGTTCATGAAATACTGCAAGTTTATTAACTACGTAAATATAAAATATAATTCTGTAGTAATCACATTTTTATTATCACTGTGTAGTTAAAAAATTTTTGTATGCATGTATAGATTAGTAGGTTACAATAATAATTATTTTCATTTTCGAAATTATAACTCAACTAAATTATTTTGATAAAATGAATTATACATTTTAGTCTCCTGCCTCGTCACCCCAAAAACTGCATACTATGTGATTTTGTTGAATATTTAATTTATTATCTATAATATTTTATTGTATTAATAAATCAATTTTATTTTTATGTAGGTATAACAATAATAATTTACCTAACCTAATTAAAATATTAATGTTTTTTATTATTGCAGTAATTTATACTAACACAAATAAAACACATTTATGAGACATAGTTGCTTAAAAATTAACACTATTTCGTTATTTTATAATGGAAAAATAATTCAAAAAATTTACTATTGGTTATTTTTTTTCGGAACAACTTTAGGGTTTAATTAGTTTTCGAACTCTAAATAATATATACACATATATAGATTTGTTAACACACTCTTACTAATTAAATTTGTAAAGAATATTTTATTTGACTAATAAAAATACACTAAAATTTAAATCGACAAATCAGGAGCAATTACATCCGCAGGTGGTTATAAGAATAACGTAATAACTAAAAAGCAGCATTATAGCTAAATGATTATTATAACAATATATAGCGTTTATAATCAGTAAGTATCAATTCGTAGTGATAATTTCTAAAAAAAATCGTACATTTTTATACACTAAATTTAAATATTTAAAAAAATGTTTTTAAATCGTTATGTCATAAACAAAAATAGATTTATCATTTGTATATATTATATTATTATCAACAATGTAATAACACTAATAACATTGTAGATAATGTGTTATCTAATTATAATATGTTAAAAATATTGGTAGTTTTATATTAAAATAACTTCATATTTTTCATGAATATGAACATATAAATATTATATTTTTAAAGTTTTTCTCGAAATATATATTTTTATAAGATTTTATTTTTTAAAGTGATAGAAGATCAGACCCAGTGGCGGATGCAGGGTTGAATTTTTAGAGAAACCTCATTATAAAATTACTTCCGACTTCCGAGTCATATATACCTATGTCGCATTCACATGATGAAACCACTCATTTCATGAAGTGGATGTCCAGATTGTGAGTTTTGACGAAAATACATTACATGGACATCCATTTCATGAAATGGACAATACCTATTGTGTACTTTGTGTAATTATTATAAAACAATTATTTTTGTTATTTACCATATAAATTATATCATATTATATATTAGATATAACTAGTAATATTAAGTATTGAGAGGTCTAATCAGGATGTTACGATCATGAGTGGCTAATAAAATAGCCAAAAAGTAGAACATTGAATTAAATTTTGTTTAATTCCAAAAAAATAGTTCATTTCATCGAACAATTGTACGTAGCCTTTATAAAGATTTATTTTAAAATGACCCAAAAATCGGAATAATTGCATAAAATTTACCACTTGATCTATTGAAGAAATTAACAATGGAAAAATATCTCGAATAATATATATCTCGGATAAAGGAAATTGAAAACGCTCAATTGCCTACAGTATTAGTAAAGTTGAAGTGAGATTGCTATTATCAGGATTCGAGAATTGTTGAAAATAATCAAATTATCTGGCAATTTTGCGATTCAAGTAAGAAAATATAAATTCAACCTGACACGTAAGTCAAATTATAACTGCAAATAAAATGATCAAGGTAGATAATAGACTGCACTAAAAATGTTTTTTTAGATCTTAATTTAAAATAATTTTTAATTGGGAAACAACAAAAAAAAAGATTTAGAAATCGACCAATGCATTGTATTTGGAGCATCGAAAGTTGGTAGGGGACCTATAGATCCGCCAAAAAAATTTGTGTGATCTCAAAACAAAAACAAAAAGGATTACATAAACTTGGAACAAAATATGATTTACTTAAAGGATAATTCAGTAATATGGACGTCCCTGGGGGGGGGGAAGATGAGGCCACTTGCCCCCCCTAGAATTTTAAATTTGTTTCCTTATTGTGATAATTTAATGTTATACTGACGAAACATAATAATGTCCTATAAACAAAACGTATAATAATAATACCTCATTGTAATAATGACAAAACATGATAATGTATTATAAATAAAATGTATAAAAAAAATCTTTATTTATTTTTTAAATTAATTTTGCCCTCCTCTAGAAAAATTTCTGGGGACGCCCATGTTCAGTAGCATAAATGTAAGAAAAAATCATCAATTAAATTTGTCATTAATGATGAAGTTGATAAAAATGTTGAATTTTCAGTGTCAGAAATTATTAAAAAATTTCAGGATGGCCAGGATTTTTGTCTTGTAAGACAAAAACTCCTTGCCATTAAGTCAGAGTGCATGTTTAAAAAATAACATACCATGTAAATGTAATAGTCTGTATTATAATCAATTGTCATTAAAAAAAAAATAATGAGAATATTATTTTATTATACTTTTTATAAGTGTCATTTATAAAATATAATATACAATTATACTCGTATATTATAATAATATTATTTATTATGTATGGTGTATAAAAAATAAATAAAAATATAATATAATATAATTTATTGGTAAATAACAAAAATAATAGTTTCATAGTAATTACACAAAGTACACAATATAGGTATTGTCCATTTCATGAATGAATTATCAATGGATGTCCATGTAATGTATTTTTATCAAAATTCATGATTTGGATATCCAGTTCATGAAATAGGTGGTTTCACTATATGGATGCGACATATACATTATAATATTATAATGTTCTAGTTCATAAAAATATGAAAGAAATGGTTAAAAGAACGTTGTTAATTTTATAATGGTTGGATTAGAAATCGTTTATGTTAATTAAATACCTATAATGATTATGCTATTATAAATTTTAACTATTTTATTTTAAAATAATTTTTATAATACAAAATCTCATCCGCACTTATTTATTTAATTTAATCAATTATAATGCGTTGTTACATGATTTAAAATATTTGTGTAAATAAAAAGACTGTTGAAAAGATCTAGATAGAGGCCGAGGCCCCTAGCCCTACCCCCCCCACTATATCTGCCACTTTCAGATCCTCACTTGTATTTAAACCCTGCATGATAAGTGATAACGAATTCATAAGTTAATTTTTGTTTTAATGATTTTTAAATTGAATTACTTTAAGTAATATAATTAGCATAATTTAATAAATTAAATATATAATCACAACTTATTTTGCAACACATGATATAAAAAAATTTATAGTTACTATATTATTATAGGGGCGCTTGTGCTTCGTGAAAATCGTGTAGTCCGACAACACCCGCGTGTATGTTAGGTGGCAACTAGTAACTGGGAGCAGTCATCGCGGACCACCGTCGCGTCGTCAACATAATATTACTAAATTTTTTACACCGTCAATAATATTATTATAGTAAAATGTTCTATTATTATTGTTATTTGTCATTGTTATTATTGTGGTGCATATAATATAATGTACACCGCGATCACACACGATAGCACACCGCCTGTGTCCTTTGTCATCATCACTCATCATTGATGTTATTATTATTATTCACAGTACGTATGTAATATTTTGATAGTATGACGGTATCAAATTGTAATAATACAACAATAGTATCAAAGACGGATAAGATAAGTTAGTAAACAACCCACTGTATATCAGTACGATTCTAACCGCTTTCCCCGTCGTCGACAGACTGACCATAGACAACTTGTGCATTATGCTATCGTATTTACAATAATATATTAAAATAATTAAAAACATAATATATCTGCTAAATGATTTTTTTTAAATAATTTTTTGAGCCGTAAAATCCGTAAATAAATCATTAATATTAGAGGCATGTGATTTGGCTGTGGAATATATAATAATTATTGAACACATATTAATTAATATTACATTATGTAACCAAAATTATTACTTATAGTTTGTAATCATCATTCGATTCGATCCACAGCAACAGTTTTTGACGAAATCGCGCCGTGCTCCATTATAATACATATTATATTACTATATTCTTTCTCCGCGAGAAATGTCTCTTAGACATATAACCATATTGTCACCATCGTGGATTCACGTCATTATACGTCTCATATTTACCTACAATTTTACAGGTAAATATATATTGTTATATTATATTTTTAATTATCATACAGCATAGTAAATCAAATTTAATTAATATTGTATTCAGCCTCGATTGATTATTATTATTTATGTTTATACGAGTTCTAACTTCCAACTATAAGTTTTTAATTTTTATACTTATTATTATTGCTGATTTTTCTATTCTATAGACTTATTTTTTAATGGATAAGTAGTAAGTAGGTTATATCGTGTAATATAAATTATAATAAATAATTAATATAGATATAAACAGAGGAATTTTTCAATAAAGGTACTTAATACATATTATTTTCAAGACTAATATTTTTTACCAAATTTGAAGTCAATAAAAAGCAAGGTTTTTTAAAAATGATAAAAGTTGTCACAGTGAGACGATCGAATGACGGTAGTAAATTCAAGTTCGATTTATTTGTGTGTATGTTTTATTTTTTTTTTTCAACAGGGTTGCAAAAACATTTAAATTTAATAATATGTCATGAGATGTGAAAAGATTAAAGACTGTTATTGATACTATAACTAAATGGATGTTGTAGGCTTGTGGCATACCTAATCTAAGGCAAAGGATCAAAGGAGACAAAGTTAAAGATAAGTTTTGGCTAATTTTTAAAGGCCTTTTGGGTTAATCTTTTGGGATCTGTTGAATTTACCTATCCAGATGTATTCTTGAAAAATAAAAATAATTGTTGTAAAATTTAATATTTAATTCTAACCAACATGTTTCAAAAACATTATTTTGTAGTTTTTTGTATTGTAAATTTATTAGATGTAGCTATTTCGATTTTTAGATAGATTTCTAATTGTAAATAAATAAATATAACGGCTAATAGGGTTAGAGAGAAAAGCGCTAACTTAAGCCCAAAACTAGCATGGTGGAGGCCACCAGAATTAGCAAAATTACCCATATTTTAAAAAGCAAAAACTATGTGAAGATAAAGACATTTTATAACTTGTATAATATATTGATAGAGTTGATAAAAATGTTAAAACTGTCTACTAAAACCTGATATTATACCATTGTATTGATCACATAGCTACGTTAATATCATCGTATAATGGCGTTAAAATAACACACATTTATATGTTTTCATTATTCATGACATAATTTACCTTATAACTTATGATATATTTTCATTATTTGTACAAAACTCTATGAGTTTATTCAAACATAAATCAATGAATTTTATGTCTATCATTTACTCGTACTATATTCTTTGAATTTCATTCTCTGATTTTAGCGTATTTAATTTTTTAAGCCCGAAACAAACCAAAAGCTGAACGCCTGAAAATAAGTCGAACTTTATTAGTTAAACGTCGTCGTATTTTAATACAAAAAAATATCTCATTACACTATTAATTAGTGCCTAACTATATATAAATTCTATAGGCAAAATATATTTATCTATGAAAATATACAAAATTATGAAAAAAAACATGATAAAAAATGAAAATATTATATATGTAATTGGAATGAATTTTTTCTTACTTAAATTCGTTAAATTGTTTTTAAAATCATACTATACTGAAAAATAAAATCAAAAGTGTGGATATGTAGTTTTCCGAGTTTAATCTTACACAATTGATATTCAAGTTACTATCATAGCTTTGTACACGTAGCTTATACAGAATTTAATATTTAATTGTAAATTACTGATTTAGACATATTTTTTGATGCGTGAGTAGTAAGTAGGTTATACCGTAAAATATAATAAATAATTATTATATCTAATTATTATATTATATTATATCTGTTATATCGAAACAGAGAAATTTTTAATTAAATTTAATATAATTTAATGACGTATCACGTTTATGTATATTTATCATAATAACATACCTACTAATTAATATTAAAGACAATGAATTATCAAAATTCTTAATACTGACACTATTTAATCGAGTATGTTTTGTAAGCATAGAAGTAAGCATAAAATTTATCGGTAGACTGGTAGAGTATAATATTATGTTAAATAATATTGTTTAAATTCACACGACAAAACGTTTATTTAACCTCTGAATTTTTATGCACAAATTCAGCGTTTATAATTTTTTAATAAAAAAAGTATAATACGTCATTTATTTATATAGTATTTTTATTTATTTAGCTATAGCATCAAGTCCAGAATATTTGGGATGTTTTTTGAACATAGATTTGAATACTTCAAATGGTTTAAATATATCACTTGCTACTTTAACCCCTCAAGAATGTTCAGATGAATGTCACACAAACAATTACACTTACGCCGCAATTAATAACGAACCGTAAGATAAATCAAACGATTATATTATATTTCCTGTTTTATATGCATGTTACTGATATGTTTATGCATAGATTTTGTCGCTGCACAAATAATTACATGTCTAAATTGATGAAGGAAATGGACGACGATTGTAATGTCTCATGTAGCGCTGCAGAAAATGAGTCAAGCGATATGTGCCAAACGCATTTTAAAATGTTTAAAACACATAATTCAACTAGAATAGGTAATAAGAAGAGGCATATACACCAGTTATTTAAGAGGTTTAATACAGGCAGTTTTAATAAAATTTTGGTTTAAAACATTTTATCTTAATTATATTTTAATAGTGATCCCATGTCAATAGGTACCAACAATGGTTTGTTGAGTAATAATGAAATTTTACAGAAACACGGTTTCACATGGTAATGTAAACTTCCGATTAAAGTATTATATTTACCAAATTTTCTCACTACATAGATGAGAATTTTATACGCATCAAAGCGTTTTTATTGCTTACGAATGAATAATTTGAATTGTCTTTAAGTCAAATTATAAAATAAAACATTACAATCTATATAAATTTCTTTTGTTTGTTTGATAAACATTTGTTAGGATACTGTAAATACTGTTTCTGTTAATTTGTCTCACGCAAAACCATTTTTATTAATAAATTATGGATGCAATGTGACGTCCCCTTAAGATGGAGGCGTTCAGACTTCAGATTATTTAATATACACTCAATATTACAATAGATTAGTTATAATTTTAATGAATAATAGTCGTACATATATATATAAACACATAATTTTAAGGCGAGGAAAAATATCCTCAAGCGATCTATCTCGGATGCTACGGAGAAAAAATGGGCGACGACAAAAACCGATTACTAAAATTTTTCCACAAAAAATATTGGGACAACACTCCACAAAAATGTTCAGAAGAATGTTTCAAAATCGGATTTCTATACTCTGGAACAACAAATGCAGAAGAAGAAGGGTAATAAGCCTATATACTAATATAGATAAGTGAGCACTATATTTACAAAGAGTATACCAATATTTGATTATATTAATTATGTATAATTATGCATATACAACATAATCTATTGAAGACAAGTTTTGGTAGTATGCAGTAGTTCATAAATTGGTCACACTTATTTCATAAAGGTACTTAAGTTACATTTTTTCCTTGCTGCAGCGTCTGAACACGGCGACGACGTTTATCGTCAACACCGGTTCAGAACATTACTATATTAAGGAAAAGTCTCAAGTCAGTTTTTATATATTTTTATGAATAATTTAAACGATTTGAAGTATTTATAAAGGTACTAAGTATATACAAAAATAAATTTAGTTTTTTATCATAGCGTGAATTTTTTAAGGTATTTAAATAGGTATTTCAAAATAAAATTAATGTATCCGGTTAATCAATTACTCGACACCCACATACATTAGTAGATATTTTCACATTTAAATGAATACTTATAAATAAATTAAATACCTACTACCTATCTTAGATAATAATTGTCAGTTTTCAATTTCGTTCTATAATTCAAACTGTTTCAAGTATTGTTTTATGCATTGAAAATGTATCGTATCAAAACATATTTTTATCGCTATCGTCTCGATTTATCAAGTAGATCGTCTGAAATACAATAAATAATAATCAGTTAGAAATTTTACTATAAATCGAAACTCTATTTTGCACAAAAATGGTATACTTTATCGTTTAAAAATTATATTGTAAGCCGTGGTTAAATAAAATTATAATTAGCAATAATTTATAAGCGATACTAATTCAAATCGATTTCATTTTTAAATTTAAAAAGTATTGAATTATATAACTGTTTATTTATGAATTTTACATCAATTATTAGTGATCAATTAAAATTATTCAGAAAATAATAGTAAACTATAATTCATATGCTAAAATTTAGAATGTTTATTATAGGTTTTTTTTTTTAGTTTGCGATATAATTTACAATACACATAATAGACGTACTTATCAAATACACATAATATTTTTTAATACACATGCGAATTCTCTTAAAAAGAGTGCGTGGTGTTGCTTGACAAAACACAATTTTTTTATCAACATTTTTATTTGACGTCTATTAAGTAATGTAAATCTATGTACTGGCTGAATGCACAAAAAATAACTAAAATTGTTCATGTATACTCGTAAATGGAGTGTTACAAAAATAATGATAATATATATATACTATGAATTGTTTAATTTTATTCCACGAAGTGATGAGTTTAGCAAATATTTGTATGTTTTTGCAAACGAATCTGCAGACAAATTATATTTAATGGATAATATGCTAATGTAATTATTTTGAAGAAATATTACCATCCGAATGTTTTCAACAATAATATAGAAACTTGACAAATCTGTGTAAAACTATAACATCTATATGAGAATTAATTCTTATCTCATTAGTCTTAAAAACAAAAAAAAATTAATAAGCTTAGTAATTATATATATATATATATATAAACTATTTAATCAATTAATTTCCATGTGAATTACATAATATGTAAATTAACTTTTAGGTGTGACATGTTTCTTCCGTTTAGAATTCTATACATTTACGGTCACACACGCAAATAACCACTCGAGTATTTATTTTTCGTTATAATATAACATAGGTATACGTATTATTTCATATCATGTGAATATTACTTAATAATTTATATATATATATACGTATTCATCGTCGTTCTCGAATAGTCAAAATTTAGTATCGAAAATAATCGTCAAACGCTATCGAAATCATTTTTTCAACTTAAATATACTACAGACATAATATAAATTACATATCGCTATGTCATTATCAAATAAATAAATATCAAATATCAAATAAAGTATCATAGAATTATTGAAAATATTACATATATTTTTAACTAAAACTGTTTAAACTTATAATTAAATACTAATCAAAACCAAACTTAGACATTGAGCGTGTGCACTGGTGTGTTTATCATTTTTTATAAAATACGGATAACGAATATTATGGTTCGCAGACCTCCGAAAACGCCCCCATTCCTAATAATAATCATAATAATCGGTACTATATTATGTATAACAATTTTGACAATTATATTTGTATGTACCAATTTACTATAAAATAATCTATATAATATGTACAAATAATTATACTCCTTTATACCAATAGTATTATCGAAAAACGTTGTATTTATGAAAAATATTGTCTGTTTTATTTTACTCCATGTGCGTTTCTAAAATTGTCAAACGGTTAGATAGCTGCAAAGTTATTTTTAAGATGGTTTCCTATTCTATCCGATTTCACAGAAAATATAACAACGTTCTTATAAAATCTAATATACACTTTCTCGAATAAATAAGCCAAGGATATATAACAGGTCTAACCAATTCGACTGAAATTTTAAACCTGCACTTTCCTTACTATAATTTTAATAACGGATAATCAAAATTTGAAAAATTTAAGACAATGGTGTCCAACTCACGGCTTGCGGGCCGCATGTGGCCCGTGGCAGATATATGATGATGCTGCCTTCACTTCAATTTAAAAACCGTTAATTAATTGTATATAATATAAAAAATGATCATAAAAATATAAAATTACAAAATATTAAACATCAAATAAACTTTAATAATGTTTTATACTTTTATCTTAGCATAATATCGTGGGCATACATTAATTATATGGGTGATTAGTAGATCAACTCAAGCCGATTTTGATAAAATATTTTATTATTGAAGATATGTCCATAGCATTGATTCCGTGTCATTTATCAACAAATAAAAATAAAATACTGTATGTATTAACTATTATTATTAAAAAGTATGTGGCCACAACAATTTATACCTATATGGTGTGGCCCAGTCTTTACAAAAGGTTGGACACCCTTCATTTAAGATATATATTTATACTAATATTGATCGTAAAAAAAAAAATAGTTAAAATTTGAGCATTTTTAACACTTATTTTTTGAAATAATATGATTATATTATATTAAATAATAATTTTTAGTTATTATATAATAGTTCATATAGGTACTATTAAAAGTATTAACTTTTAAGTACTACTTTAAACATTAGATTTAAAAATTAAGTTATGTAAGTGAATCATCTATACTCAAGATCCACTCTCATAAACTACCGCCAAACATGTATAAACTGCAAATTATTATATTGAATGTTTTGTTTTTAAATTCAGTGCTGCTTGTTGGTGTGGTAATCAATATCCTTCGAAGAAATTCAAAACAATCGATACGAAATGCAACTCTCTCTGTTCGGGTGACAGGACAAAAAATTGTGGTGGTCTGTGGAGATTGAGCGTTTATTCCACTGGGATCGTTGGTTAGAATAAAATACTACTGATATACTAAGTTTTTTCATTTTTGATTCGCTCCATACATTAGGTATAATTTAATAGTTCATCTGTTATAATTATATTGCACGCAGATTATCCACTCAAAAATTCGGTCGGTTGTTACAATTTGGATAGTTTCAGCCAGTATGACAAAAAAGTATACACTTTAAAGGAAACCATTGATTCGCACAGGTGTTTTTATATTTGCAACGAAAGAGGATTTAAGTACGCGGCAGTCAGCGAGTACATACTTTTTTAACTTGATACCTACCTACATATTCACTAATAGAGCTATTGACTATTACGTGCATATAATCTGTTTAGGGATCATTGCGAATGTAGTTATGAAATACCTAGTGCAGACCAACGTAAAAAACAAGAAGAATGTAATCAATGTACTGGAGACGAATCGGAATATTGTGGTGGTCCCAACTCAATAAGTGTCTACGAGAACGATTGGTTTGGTCAGTTAAAATTATTTTCAAAGTATATATTAAACTATAAATTAAAAATAGTATAATTTTTGCGTTTATATTTAAATAAAGATATTATTAAAATTTTTAACAAAAGAGAACAGAATAGTGGTCTAAAAATCAAATCCAGTGTACATACAATTTTTACTACTTAAAAAAATAGCTCTCTAAATATATACTCATAATTTCAACACCATATATTTCATCAAAAGTTTTGTCAATAATTATCTGAAATAAAATAATTATCTATTCTGTATCGGGCACGTAACCAGAATCTTTTAAAGGTGGATTATTTTCATAATACATTTAAGTATAACTTGTGGAAAAAATACGATTAAAATAGTTTTTATATAAGTATCATATATTTTATTGTACTTGTATACAATACTTGTATATTTTTATTTAGCTTATGCAATTATTTTTTTTTTAAACTATCTATATTTTCTACAAAAATTGTAGCCTACATAAAAAAATGTATTTTTATGTATTTTTTATTTGTATTAATGTATTATATATACATATATATTGTATATACAAGTCGTAGATTAATTACAGTGGCTAAAAAGGGTAGATTAGGAACAAATAATAATATATAAATACAACGATGAATTTTTAAATAAAAAATATAATAAATACAATAACGCATAAGAAATACAAATAAGATACATATATAAGTATATATGAGTAAAAGTTTAAATTCACTGTAGAGAAAAAGATGGACCTTCGTTAACCATCCTTATAAGTCATAATCATGGCAAGGGAACTATTAACTCTTCGATAGTTAACTACATATAAAGAAACACAAAAGTTATTTGTATGACAAAAGTTACGAACGACATAAATGGAAATTAATTTTATTAAGTAAACTAGGTGTAATAAATTGTTCTGGTATTAATTTATTTAAAAAAATTTTGGTACGAAATATAATCAGTGACTATACTTTGTTTTCAATATAGGCATAGCTACCGGAAATTTATCGAAAACGCATTTAGGATGCTTTGAAAACAATTGGATGTATCCAATAATGGATGGATGGAATATATCATTTCCTAAAGAAATGACCTCACTAAAGTGCGTTTCTAGTTGCTTCACACGAGGATATCCATTCGTAGCATTAGTTTCTTCGTGAGTTTTTCAAATTTGTATTATGAAGATTTGTTTTTCATAATAATATTATTGTTATCGTTATTATTATTATTGTTATATAATGTGAAATAGTAAATTTTATAGAACTTTACTAAAAATTATCTTGCTGAAAAATTAGTTAAGTTTTTGAATAAATATAAAAGTATTATGTACACAAGGGAGGATCGAGAAATAAAAAAAATGGTGAGCTGCACAACAAATATTCACATATGATGTATATATATCAATTAAATACTTACTCGTAAAAAATGATATACCGTAAATATCGTAAATATATATGAACTATTAAGTTTCATTGATACTATTAAAAATTATAATAAAGTATTTATTTTTTTTTTTTTTTTTTTTTTTTTTTTTATGACATAATTACATCAGCTACTATAGGCCATTACTTATTAGTTGGCATTATAATTACATTTAAAATTAGGATAAATTTTTACATTTATTAGGTTTTATAATTTAATTTCTTTTAAGAAATTGATGTTGGTAATAGATTGGAGGTCAGATTATAGGGCTAATAAAGTATTAGTTATTACCTTTTTATATAATATGAACTACTATAAATAAAAAAGAATCTTTGAAATATTATTCAAGGAGGCTTTCAGTCTTCCTTGTATCCGTTCTTGAATGTATATTTATATATAATAGAATGAATATATTAAATATTGCATATATTATATATATTTATAAATTATAGTATATAATATGTTACGGGTAGTGTTAAAATTCGGATAACGTCGACATTAGCCTTATCTTTACGCTAGTGTGTAATTTTTTGTTTATAAACATAGAATATCAAGATTATCCGGATAATGTTAAATTAATTAGCAAATATTGAATAATGTTGAAAGAGTCAGAATTTTTGTTAGTATTATTATCAACATTATTCAAATATTAACATATTATACATTATACTATTACAGAGCCGTAAAAGAAATGTAGAGTAATTTACTTAAAATAATATATAGTATAATATTAAAACTTAATAATTTTTATTTATTCATAACAAGTAAAAGTGTTGCTATAAAAATTAATATGAAACAAAAATAAGTATGTTCGCCGAAAAAACAGTGTATTATTGTAATAAATAAATAAATAATAATAATAATAATAATGATAATAATAATTTATATGCGTACTGGTATATTATATTCATAACTAATAGTGGCGTGACGAAGAAATAAAATTGAAATACAACGGCCGCCTCAGAATTTTTTTTAGGGGTGGGGGGGAATAGGTACCTAGTTAAAAATATGGCGGTAAATTCCATTAATTATTACATTTTGGGCAAGTCTATGGAGTATGAGACTGTATAAACTCTGAAAAATTTCCAAAATTCGTCACGTCACTTATACTATATACTATACGCATCACGTGTCACGCAAATAATATATATAATATGTGGGATGTGAATCGTAATAATTTTGTACGATGTGATCCGATCATGTCTGCGATCGGTGTACTAAACACGATCAGGACAGAGTGTCTGTGCAGTTTCGTAAGTCCTCCTGTCGAGGCCAAGTTGAGAGCTGGAGAACGGCATTGCAACGCCGCGTGTTCGGGTGGCAAGGAAAACGTGTGCGGTGATCGCAACCACTACAACGTGTTCACTACTGGCCTGAAAACGTCCAGAGTGCCCGGTAACCATTACCTGGGTTGCTACGAAGAGACAGATGTATACAGAGCGTTTAAAAAGAACCAGTCCGTCGAATTCCCGTCCATCAACACACCTAACATCTGCTACAAGCACTGCGACAAGGCGGGCTACGAATATTTCCAACTTTCCAGCAGGGAGTCGTGTTTTTGCGGAAAAAGCCATCCGGCGGAAGACGGTGCGATACGGATCGACGACAACCAGTGTTCCGCCCAGTGTTCAGGTGACGCAAACAAATATTGTGGCGGGACGTTTAAAATCGCCGCGTTCCGCATAGGTAAAGTATATAATATATAATGGTATATTGTAGCCACGATGTTGTGGCCGATATCACTTCAAAACAATATAATATATATATATATTATATATATTATACATTACGTTGTACTCGTTATTTACTATATCTCCGAGATTATCTAATGGCCCCTGAGTGATCGAGTCCTTCGAGCGTCATTCGCATATTTATATATTTTTGTAACTAACTGCTGTACTGCGCTGCAGTATATCTGTATCATAATTTTTTTAAGTGTAACAGGTGCATGTATATATTGTACATATCTACAAGGTAGCTTATATATGTGTCTCATATCTGTGTATTATTTATACAATTTCTTTTAATACAATTAAAAGAAATTACAATTATTTCATACCTAAATTCAGACACGAAATAAACAAATCGAACAGTCAGCGCAATTCATGTTATATTTGGACGAGAGACACATTAAACTTGAAAAAGGTGTACACGTAAATGTTTATACGACTAGAGCACAGATTTTTATGCAATCACATAAAATATTTATTGCATAAATTAAATCATATTAGTTTTTAAAAAAATTTTAAAAAAAATGAAACCAATATTTATTTTAAATTAATAAAATTTTGTGAAAAAATAAAAAAAATAAATCAGTATCGAAGATAAAAAATATTGTATATCTTAATAGAATGTAATATAAAAAATACAATTATATTAGCTTGACAAAAATATGCTTAGTATGTAATACGTATATGAATTTCTCAGATGGTCAAGTGGTTAATATGCAATTGCCTATTTAAATATCTTATTGCTTTACTATGCTACACCATACAAAATTCCTATGAATCAGTATTTGAATGGCACTTTATTAAAATTAATTCAGGCCTCAAAGATATTAATAACATCATTCTACTCAACGCGTTTACTCACAATCAAATTAAAAATATAGAAATTCTATTAGCATTAATATTTAATATGTATTTATAATCAAACATTTTTAAGACATTTAAAACTGAAAATAAGCACAGTTATTACTTATTACATATTACGTAAGAGTCTCACTATATTATATCAGTTCCAATTATATGTTACTATTTTATATCTAAAATCCCGCTACTAAAATTACTTGAAAAATATGAGAAAATATTCACTTCACATTAAATGCTGTTAAAATTTAATTCAGGACCATGAGATGCAATCTTATTTGTTGTCGTGATATCTAAATCGATATTTGTGTAATAATATTAATTATAGAAATACTTGAACACATCAAATAAAAGTTATTTCTAATACATTTTATTAACATTTTGTAGACTAAGATGAATAGTAAATTTATCTCAGTCTATAAATGTTAACACGTATGAAACGGCTAAATGGTCTGTAGTCCTAACTGATGCTGATTAGTGACTACAAATTCAATCAAACTGATAAGTGATAAAAATCAACAGCAATAGTTTTATTATTATTATTTAATATTCACATAATTAAATTTAAAATTAATTGATATTGGTGTTAAATTAATGCTTTTATTTATTTATTATAGGAATGGTTGCTGATAAAAAATATAATTGTTCAACGGATTGTGAATGTTATTTTTTTCCGAAATCCAATGTATCTAAAATTGATTGTTCAAGAATAAATCTTACTGACCCTTCTACAATTATTCCTAATTTAAAAATGACTTCGTCGTCTATTGATTTAATTTTGAAAGACAATGCAATTGAAGTGTTACCTAATTTAACAAGTTTTCGAATCACTTTATTGGATGTTAGTAATAATAGTTTAACGACATTGGATGCCGATCTTTTACCTAAAACCTTAAAAGTGAGAAAAATAATAATAGTTTAATATGTATATTGTTTATGTTACATGCATAATATGGATATTAAAAAAAAAAAAAAAAATATATCAAATTTACTTATTGTTTTTTAATTTTATTACAGATTGTAAATATACTTATATTAAAAAAAAAAAATATAGATATTACATGTTTCCTTAATCGAGATCAACTTGCGCCCTCCACCTTAGAAAAATATTGATCAAAAATCATAATATCAAATAAAATTTTGTTTTTTTTTCATACCAAAAACATTTTACATTTAAAAAAGTTAATATAAATAAAATTATCAATTATAATTTTACACGGTTTCTATTAAATCAGAACAAGAAATAATTCGTGATCATAATTTTATTGAAATACAGTATTTTTTTAAATTTACTTATTTAAGTGTACTATAAAATGTATTTACCAACTATATAAACATATTTAATTTCAATTTTATTATATTCAAATTAATATTATTATGGTTTATAACAATAACATAGATATATTATATGAAAATGCATGTAAAACATGTGCACGTAATATCATGTATTTATAATAAATATATTTTTATTTTTAATCTTTTCTATAGACTTTGTTCGCTAATAGTAATAAGTTAACAACCCTGAACGATAACGTATTGAGTTTAATGAAAAGTCTAAACGTCATAATGTTATCGGACAACCCGTGGCCATGCGAATGCGATTTGTTGAAAATCCTACTAAAGTATAAATCAAAGGTTCGCAATCATACCTATAATATATAAAGTAACCACAGACTGCAGTGAGCAGATTATTTTATTAATATAACGGTTCGTTGATTTTACAGATCGGAGATTTGAAGAAAATCACTTGTGCGTCTTCCACGGATCCATTTATCCACATGAACGAATACGAATTTTGTAAAAAATGGAAAATCAATTATTTTTACCTCCTTATTGCCTTGGGTTTCATTTTGTTTGTTTGCTTGCTGTCCATCTATTTTAACTTACACAGAGCCGTTTGGTCGTACATGCGCAACGTCCAATGCGATTCCTGTGGTCTTATGTCCATGCAGCACGCTAATAATGCCGGTAAAGATTCCGAGGAAGAAACTTTCATGCAACGCATCCAATACGACGAACTCGTGTTGGCCACTGACAACTGGAACCAGAACCACGTGCTGGGTGAAGGCGGGTTTGGAGTGGTGTACAAAGGCAATTGGAGACACACGGACGTAGCGATCAAAAGATTGAAAGCCGAGGTTCACGTGACGTTACAATAATATACGCGGTATATGTCTTAAATTATATTTTTATATCGTGTCTATTTTTTATATTTCAGGGAGTTGCTGAAAAAGTAATAAACATGCACACTCTAGGTAACAAACTCCAGCAGAATCCGTCAAAAGAGATTATGTATCTAAACGCCGTTAAACACGATAATGTACTGTCCATGTATGGATTTTGCTTCCATTCGACGGGATCTTGTTTGATATATCAGTTCATGGCAAACGGGTCGCTAGAAGATCGATTACAGTGCAAAGTATATTCACGATTTATTTTTCTATATAATTATATACATGAATACAGTATTAATACGAGAAAACCAATCAACAACAAAATAATATCACATAGGTAGTCTATGCTCTGAGCATTTTTAATTTTTTCTATATTGTTTACACTATACTCTATAACAATTAGGTATCTAGTCAAATGTTTTTGAATACCACAAAAATCAATAAAATTCTCATCACATAAGCTCATTCTCCTTCTGCAAACTACTATCAACATTCATCGTAGGAGCATCTATAATGTGTTCCATGATTTTTATGACAAATAATTATATAGTCTCAGAAATCAAATTATAAAGTCAAAAGTTAAAACGATTTTTTTTTAACAAAAATATTTAGCTTAATAACTTCACGTATTCATCAAATAAAAGATTATTCTATTTTCATATTTTGTATAAATTAATGATCACCTGTTTTATTTTTTGCTTAGTTTTGTATAATTTATTTCATGTTAAGAAGACTCCATACAACTCACTGTTTAAGGGATTCAATATAAACAATTTTAATAAAATTTTGAATTCAAATGATTTCTTTTAATACATTTAAATACTAATCCAAAGTATTTTAAAATTGATCCTATGTAAGTATCAACAGTGGTTGTTGCGCAATAATGAGATTAGGTATGTCACGCGAGATAAATTTATGAATTACGAGTACCTATATTATTTACAATAAATTTAATAAATTTTCACGCTAGATTGAAGAACACGTCTTTATCTATGTCATAGCGTTTTTATTTTTTTTAATATTAATACACAATAATTTTAAATAAACAAATTAAAAACTAAAAAGAAATAAAACTTTACAATTTGATAATTTGGATTATTTTTAATTTATCAAAATAATAAAGACTTCACGATATGCATACATTTTTTTTATATGTATTATTATGAAAATTTGATAAGGCTACTGAAAATACTGTCTCCGTAAATTTGTCCCACGCAATTTGCAAAACCATTTTAATTGTTAAATTACGAATGATGTGGTAACCTATTGATTACTGTCTTATATTGTCTCTTATCCTAAAAAGTAGATACTGTATGATGTTGATGTATATAATAATTCAAGGACGTTATTTAGGACAAATTGGATCCTTACTTGGAAAAATCCCTCACCCTGATAAAGCTATAAAAAGCTTGTTAAATGGCTTGAATTGAAACTTTCGATAAAGCTGATGTATCACTCCATGTAGAACGACTTATAAAGTTTTTAATTTAGTTTTGAAATAAGATTTTTTGTTTTACGCGCACTCAAATTTAAAATTAAAGTATACCTTTGTGAGGTCCACGTTATTATCAAAGACATCTGCACATTATACGATACAGTTCTAAAATACTCTCTATTTTTACATATTATTATAAACAGAACGGAACTAAACCATTACTTTGGACGACGCGTGGAAACATAGCGACGGGAATTGCAAGAGGATTACAGTTTTTGCACAATGTTGAAACACCTTTGATTCATGGCGATATAAAAAGGTATACATAAATATATTTGAACGCAATTCCGTTAAAGGTGTATGAATTAAATAAACATTTAACATATTAATTTATTAATATCCCGTTTTATAGCGCCAATATACTTTTGGATTCTAATCTCGATCCCAGAATAGGAGATTTCGGACTCGCGCGGACTGGTCCGCTGGAAAAAATTGACAAAAGCATTGGATTTGATATCAGCCACGTGTGTGGTACAAAGCCTTATTTACCTGAAGATTTTTGTAAGAACAAAAAATTATCGACCAAAGTGGACACTTACAGTTTTGGCGTGGTATGTACACAATTCGCCGTGTATGTAACACATTAATATAATTTTATGCAATGACAATATATAATATAAGTTTTATATGTGCAATCTATCAACACAAAACGGGAATAATATAAATATATAATCTATATGAACGTCTATAAAACAATATTACGTATATTATATAATATTTTATTGCTCATAGGTGATGTTTGAAATCGCGACCGGTTTAAGAGCATTCAACAGGTACAAAAATTACAAATATTTGGTAAGTATCGTGATGAGAAATTGAGAAATTAAACACTTTGATTATTTTATTACCATGCGCAGTTTTAACTTATTCAAACTATTATATTCAGAAAGAGATGGTGAATAAGCACGATAACTCTACGATTGCGAACATCGCCGACAAATCGGCCGGATATGATCCATTTCATATTTTCGAAGTACTCATAACTTTGGGAAAAACGTGCGTGGCAGACATAGCTGAGAAACGTCCTGAAATGGTCGTTGTTTACATGAATCTCCAAAATTATTTGTCATCGAAATCCGACGTAAATAATGGTAGGTATGTGATGGTAATATTATATTATGTTTGTACTGTTTGTAGATTAACCATAACTATGTATTTTTTATAAACCAACTAGGTAATTAAAGTAAATTAATTAAATATGGTCATTAAAAAGTAAAAACACTGACCGAACAAAGTATCAAAAGCTAGAGTCGTACAAATCATGTAAATAATAATATTATTATACGAGTATGTGTATAATAGATCAAACATTATATAGATACCTAGAACCATAATATATCCATAACAGACCATTTTTTCGACCCAAAACTTAAATAAAAATATTGTATCCACCCAGGCCCGGTTCATAATTTATTTCAAGCTCAACTCAACTTAGCCCGTTCACAATTTTTTATCAGGAACTCGGTCCTTTCTAAATTTCTAACACATATTTTAATTGACCTATCCTTATTATCAAATATTATGAAAATAAAATACATTTGATAATTTTGATAAATTAATAGCAATGTGTATATACGAGTATAGCTATAATATTAGTACCGTCTTGAAATATCAAATGTCATCGACAATAATCGTTTCCTAGAAAAAAAACATTTAATTTCATTAAAAAAAAACGAAAATTTTAACCGTAAATACGCCATTTAAAAATAGACATTTTTTAATTTTTATATAGATAAGTATTTCAATATTATTGGGTAATATCGTTTTTCTTATCCCTCCTCCTCGAAACTTTCGCCATTCTTATTACTTTTTTATTACTTTTTTTTCTGCAGTAAGTTATCTAAAAAATAATCCTTCTTACAGGACGATGAAGCTGCCCAACTACGAAGGCCATAATAATTTTACATTTGAATTATTATTATTAATTATTGGTTTATTACCTACTGTATATGTATATGCGTGTTTGTAATATATATATAAAAATAAATAAAAAATCACACGCACACGCTAAATCGTAAATATAAAAAGACAGGAAGTTTATTGTCAGCTATGCGTAGATAGTAGGTAGATTAAACATTTTTATGACTGCATTCGAATTTCGTCAAATTATCATAAATTGACTTAATAAATAGTTATCAGTACATCGTTATCGGTGGAGATAGATAGTTGTGCTTCATACTGTAGACAGATATTTGGTCTTTGACTCTCCATAGTATAATATTAATATATTATTACAAAAACTTTAAATGTGCTCTATGGGAAATAAATATTTATGATTTACTTTGCCTAAATAAATCGAGTATTCTATTACATTAACCCATTTTCCACTTGAATCATAATAATACATATTTAATGTTTTTACATTTTTCAGTTGAAGCAAACGATGTGAAGTATAACAAGAATACGTCGAAAGTACAGTTAGAGGTACCTATACTTCCTATGGTTATCAATCAATAATATTTTTTATTTTTAACCATTTAAATATTTTGATCTATTCATAAAATATTTAAATGTAATCATGAGTTATTAAAATATTTGTAACGCTTGTTTAACGAACGCTTTGACGCAGTCACAGGAATAATTTTCAGTTTTTTGCAAATTTCAACAGACATCACGACGTACCGTGTCAAGTGGTAATATAATGCTATGGTTTTTTTTGGCTGCGTGCCGATTATAATAAATAAATCTGGAATAAAAACCATATAGAAACTGAAAGGTTTAATATAAATAGACATCAACTCTCACAGTTTTGCAAGTGAATAACATATTATCATGACAAATAATTTTTCAATAATAAGAAACTTTCAACCGCAAATTATTATGAATGGTACCTAATCACACTAGCATAGATGCCGATACCAATAACACACTGTAAATTTCAAAAACATTATAAATTATAATATAGAAACTTAATACTTCAATGTCATGCTTATCTCATTGGTTTTATAAAGTTATGTGCACATAAACATAAACAAGTTTATAAACCTGTTGCGTATTGCATATACATATTGTAGTGTAGTATACCTAAATTTCAGAAAACTTCCCTACCTATAATTAGAGATATTCTTGATTTTAGGAAACCAAAAATAAGGATTTCATAAAATTGGATGGAATAAAAGCAGCTTTGCTAGCACCACTCCACGAGATACCGTCAATATCGAACTTGTACTCCAGTCCTGTACACGAAACAACCGATCCTCGTAAAATCATTACCGCAGAAGTAAAATCTAACAGCAATGAGATATCGGTATGAAAAATGGGTTTAAGTACCGTAAAATAAGATAACTATATCATTATGTACCCATAATTTAATTTGGTGCGTGTACGTTTTCGATAGGATGAAGGTTTTTTTACGACCGACTTTTAAGCAATCAAGTCAAGTAACACTATGCAACGTTATGAAAATAATTAGTTATTGCTAACCTGTATGCTGACTACTATTGTAATTTGAAATGATCATTTAATTATATTACCTATTATGTCTTATAAATTATATCAAGTTAGTTCATAATAATATTAGCCTATTTACTTGAATATCTATATTATATAATGCACTATGTAAGTATGTATTCCAATATTATTGGATTGTACTCGTATTTAGCACATTATGTTTTGAATTTAAGATACTTATTTTATAATATAATTTATTTAATATTGATTATTGTACCATGCGTCAAACTGTTATGTAAATTTTGTCCCCAACTTATAAAGCATAATATTATAATAATTATCATTATTAATGAATAATTCATTTTAACATAATTTCCACAGAAAATTATTTTTAATTAGTATTGCAGTTTCAACTCTGTGTGTTTTATTTAGAAAATTCAATGATCACATTATCATAACATTAATTTTAATAATCATTATAATATATTAAAACATATACTATAAATAATTAAGTTTATGATTATACCATTAAAAAAATTTATTTTAGAATTTCATATTAAGTGAATTTTTTACACAAATATTAAACATGATATGACTATCTTTTCTTTTTTTATTTATTTTTTTTTTTTTGTATGTTATTTTTACAGAAGAATATCACAAAATAGTTTTTCTTCCTTCATCCATTGCTGAGTTAAATTAATTATCCAGAATTGAAACAAATATAAAAAATGTAAACTATAAGTTAATAAAAGTAAATTATAGTGATTTAACTGAAAAATATCTAACTCATTATAACAGAAATTTCTTTAAATAATTAAGTGTTATAGGCTTATAACTTATATTGGCATTATTATAAATAGCACCAGATTATACCAGATAAATAGCACAATTTCAAAGAAAAACAATAATGATATAATGTAGTAAGTTTTAATAATGTCAAAAAACATTTAAAAAATACTAAATTATAGTATTTGTATTAAAAAAAAAAAAACACATACAAAAAAATATTAACCAAATACAAAATAATCATCTTTTTTGTAACCTTGCTGGACAATTAACCTATTGAGAAAAAAAAAATAATTAAAAACATAATTTAAAATGTTTAGTTTATTCTTACTTTTCACACAGTTTATTGAAGCCCGGTGGGCCACAAATGCATACTGCATATTCATTTATTGAATCTTTATGTAATGAAGGAAAATACCTAGTGATTACACTTTCATCAATATGCCCTTTTGAATCATCCTTGGAGTTTTCCTCTTCTGATAAAATGTAATGTACAGTCAGTCTATACAAATTAACAACTTAATAATAACAATGAAATCAAACAACACTTATAAAAATCATACCTTGATAAGTAAGCTGCACTTTTTTGATCTAAAAAGTTTTTCCAAATTATGCATGTTTCTTTTTTGTTGAAATACAATAATGTGATATTATACCTATATATGGAGTTAAAATAAAATAACATAAAACTCATCTTTTAATTGCTATTAGTATGTTATCAAATTACTTTTTAATAGAAGAATGCAAAGCATTCCATATTATTGGTAACATTGGCGTAATTCCAGTACCAGCAGCCAATAAAATTAGGTTTGTTTTTGATGTCCAACACTCAAAACTACCTTGTGGGCGGCTGACTTCAATTGAATCTCCTTGGTTTAAAGAACATAAATATCTACTTAATTTTCCATTTGGATAACTTTTAACTAGCAAACATAAAGTGTCCTCTGAGATTTTTCCATACTCTGTTGTTTCAACTAAAGGCCAAACTGGAGTATAAGGACGAGACACAACTTGACCTGGAACAATAATTTTTAGTATTTAAAAAATGTGTCTCAATAATTTTTATTTTTCAATAAATAATTTTTGGATCATACCGTTCACATAAGCTTTAACATAAATATGTCGACCAGGATAGACATGGTTGTACAAATTTTGTTGATACTTAAATATTAAAAATTTAGCATTATGTGTGACATCAAACGAATTAAGTAACTCGCATTTCCAATAATCAACTTGAATATTTCTAGTTGTTGATAGGGTTCCAAATGTAGGCCATAGTCCAAGTACTTTTTTTATCAGTTTAACTTGAACTTTTCCAATGTCTGCTACAATTTTTACAATACAAGGCCAATTGACATTTTTATGCAAATTGATACATCTTGTTTTTCCATTCAATGAAAAACAAAATTCATTGGGTTGTTTTAAAGTAATAGATACCTAAAATCGTAATCATAATTTAATACTATGACAATTAATTAAATTAATTAATTAAACATTGTTTTTCTAATCATATTTAGGTTTATCAAATATTGATAAAGTTTAGAAAAATCAAATACTATTAACTTTGAAGCAATATAAAATTATCAAACTATATGTTGGAAAATAAAAATTCAGAACAACAAATTTAATTAGTTTATGACTCAATATACATGCACGTATTACTAAATAAATAATTGTTGAAAACTATGACTTAAATAAATATATGTCTCACTCGTATGAAAAATTTACGTACCTCAGGATATGGTGTTTTAGTATAAAATACAAAACATAAGAAGCCAAGTTGTTGAAACCAATCCATGTTCAATTCATTTTCGGTATCATCTGTAGCTGCTTTCAAAATACCAGGCAATTTAAATAATTCTTCATTCACTAATCGGCCAACCACACACTTTTGAAGTATTGATTCATAATTCACCCAAGCATGTATCTGTTGTTCACAATCTTTTGTAAACAATTTGTTAACAGTTAACAACAATTACATTGTTTGTTGGTATGGGTTTTTAATTACCTCTGAAAATAATTTAGTAGCATCTGTGCCGATTCCTCTAACTAATTCATCAACACCACCAGGATGGAAGTCCATGTACTGAGTGACATTGTAAACTGTTCCACGGATAGCCAACCAGGCATCTGTTCGCTTATTGTGTTTTGCTAATTCTGATTTTGTAATGGATAAAATTTTACCTCCAACTCCAGTCAAGTCATTTCCAGAGTTGCCTAAACGAATCCAATCCATCAGAGAATGTCCAGGTGCAAGTGCCACCTTATTTCTAGTTGTTCCTGATATTTCAACAAAAAACAAAAATATTGATTAGATACTAAAATATTAAATTGCCATAAAGCATCTTCATTGACACAACTGAACTTAACACCTATTGTAAATCTCGGGGGTTTAACAAGTTCGCAATAAAATTCTAAAAGCAATGAATCAAGTACATGGCACTTATATTAATAATTTACTGACCGGTAGCCATGATTGAACCCGGCGAGTATGTAATCGTGAACGTTAGACAACTATCGATTCGAACGTACACTCATGCATGATTGTAATCGATCACAACAAACGTTTTGACAAAAATCTGTGTAATATCTTATAGTAATAATGTGAAAGCATAAATTAATAAATTAATATCTAAAAAAAAAAGTCAATAATATTATCACGCCTGTCCTGTGATTTCGTTATCAGTTTTCGCAAACATGTTATCGCTTTAGCGGAACATAGATCACGATTTAAGATAATATTATCCAATTATAAGTAGCATATATTTATATATAGCTCAGCCTGTATAGTGTATAGTATCTAGTGTGTCTACCGATCAATGGCTACTAAAGATAATATCATCAGATACTCCGGAAGTAATTAATATCGTCGTATAAAAAACCAAAACTCAATTCGTGTCATGTCACTAATGTCATTTAACGCAATTTTTAAATCGGGGACGCAATTTGTATACAGCCTTAAAAACACTCGTACACTATTGCCGTTAAAATTTTTAATAATCTGTTCCTGTCTCTTGATATTTGCTCGAACGCATACGGTAATAGCCAATAGATACGTGACGTCCAACGATATTAGTGAAATTTTAGACATAATTTGCTTTTTATGGTAGCACAATTGACGTATATAACTCTGAAGAGGATATTGCAAATTAACCGAACTGAAATTTTCCGTTCCGCCCTATGCCGACCCGAGTGGCCCGGTGCTGAAAAATTAAAACAACTCAGTACTTACCTACCTCACAACTACGTTCATTATCATTCAAATTGGTCGGTATTATGAGATTTTGCTATTTTGACCATAGGTATTTATTTTTCAAAATACCATTATTATTGATGTATACCTATAAAGGTGTAATATCATATCATATCATATTATTACACTTGATACGAATCAAAATTCATTTGTAATTTACTATTTTCATTGATTTTATAATATTGTATATTGTTTGTATATTATAAAACCAATGTTATTAGTATGGCATAATAATATAATGTATTTAAATAAT